TCTCCATTGCCCAGAACTTTTATGTGCTGCAGATAAAAACAACCAAACCAAAACACACTGAGTTTTTAGCTTTTCAGGGATGCAATATTAAACAATTTCATTAAATATAAATAGACTTTTTAAAAAATAAACTCCTTTTCTGTAAAAAAAAGATAAATAAGAAAAAGAAAAAAAAGCAGAGCTATTATGTATTTTTGTCCACAGAACAAACAAACTGTTTATGGGGACTGTATCTTAGCAGTGCAAGCTGAAGCACTTATAACAGTGTACTCTCGGGCGTGTCTCGCCTGTAAACTCAGACGTTATCTCTAAAATCATTTAGTGTTTCCATAAAATAAAAAGTTGTGCTGTCAAGTGCTGTCAAGAAATTTTCCTTGAAGGACTCTTTTCAAAGCTACTTCTGTCTTAACTTAGCAACAAACTTCAGCAGAGAACCAGCTGGCAGAGGACACCACTGAATGTATGTGCCAGCTTATACACATGCAGGTTTTCCACACTCCTGGAGCTGACTGCTGAAGCCTGCTCTGAAGCAGCTGGGAGCATGGAGAACCACGGGCCTGAGAATTCTGAGAAACAAAGTGCACTGGAAGAAATACCAAAGACATCAGCGTCCTGTTTTATCTCATTGTCTTTGAACATCAACAGGCTGGCTAAAAAACCATTTGCCCTAAGTAAATACTCTACACTTCACTAGACTCATTCAAGGTCATGAAGAGTCAATGGTGATAAACTGCCAAAAAGTCCCACTTCATCTTTTATACCTTTTTTGATGCATATTTCTCTGAGTCATTGATTTAATCTTCCTCTTGATTATTTCAAAATTTGTCATAATTTAAGGCATCACCAATGTCTACAGTGAAATTTGCTCTCAAGGTGCATTTCAAAAGTGCTGCACAAAAGCAGATACACCATCTGCTGTTTAAAGTGTTCCAAGACAATTTTCTGTTACATTCCTGCAACTACTGGATAAGCCACCACTGCCAAGAGGAATTCTGTTGACTCCCTTTGAGGCTGTATAGAATACAGACATCAGGAGCAATAGGACTTGCAAGAGTTATGAAAACAGCAAAATGGTACCCTTGAAATTAAGACAATGATTATTTAAGTTTGAGCTTCACTAGAAGTATCACTGCTGATAGTTATCACAGAAACATCTACTAATGCATTTACACTCTGCTCCCAGACTGCTGTCTGTATTTTCCCAGAGGCCAACAGACCCAGTTGCTTGGCTTTGAGCTGCCAAGACTTTTAGTTTTATCCTGTTATAACTCATCAAACAGATGTAGGCATTTTACACTCAGAATTCTACAACCCACTATGTGCACTCTTCATAGACACCAAAAAGCGGAGTACTCCAGAACTCCTGTACTGATTGCACTGTTTACTTCTATGTTTTATTTCAAAACTTTCCATTTTAAATGTATTTCAATGTGGCCAGACTCTTATATTGCACTGTTATAGTGCACTGTTTTATTCGCATCTACTTCCAAAAAGTTCATCAAATTTGATACTGTATCAGGAAGATCTTTCCATTAATGATTTTATGAGATGAGAGAGAATTAATGAGCCTGTCTTAGCTTAACCCTCTTCATGTGTAGTGTTGAAGGAGAGAGGCTGCAGTACACTGAGAAGGCACTGGGAAGGGATTTGTGCAAGAATTGACCAGTTCAAAAACAAACTGAGAGGACCCAAATAATTCTGAGGGAGTTCTGCTGACTTGAGGATGAGCAGCAATGCACAGAAATGCTTTGGTACAGATAAAACCATCTTCCTTAAGTGACAACATCCATGAATGGATGTTTCACTGCAGTAAAATGGGCAGGTAAATGGTCTCCTTTCCTGACCTTTTTGCAGAGACTCTTACTTTAATAATACAGAACCATAAATCTTGCAGCAAGAGAAGACTGTATATTTAATACCTTGGATAAATTGCATTTTATGACTGAACTTCCATCTCTCTTGTGATTGTTAACTCTCTTCCACTATATGCACAGCTGAGAAATGAAGCAGCTTTTTCTAAGAGCATCTTACAATCCTGACACGTACAGCTTTCATGCCATTGCCTTCCAACAAAGAATTTGGAACTTCCATGTTCAAGTGGATGTCCTGTAATATTTTGGACTTCAACAAACTAGCCATAATCATTTCATCAGCACCTACAGTTGCAGAAAGGCACTTCTAGGCTTCTGTAACAAAAAGATAAAGAAACTGTGCATTGCTGGGTACATTTAATGGGCCAGTGCCTGAGCTTGCTGTTATGAAGCAAGACTGCAGAGAAGAAGAGATCTGATGGATTCCAGCAGTGCAGGGCACTGGACAAGAGATCTGTGACACTAGTAACAACAGACTGCACAGTCACCTTCACTTTCTGCACAGTGAGTGCTCTGCAGGTCCCTACCTGCAGTGTGTGTTGGTTATACTCTCCAGTCAAAGACCAGTTGTGCTGGTCTGAAATCGAGAGTGGAACAGATAGGCTGTGAGGCAATGACCATTTATTAAACCTTCACACAAAACAGGGACAACTTGTCTATGTATCAATAGACATTTATGATTTCACTTTTGTCCTGGTGAATCTGAAATGTGGCTTTGCTACTGCCATAAATATTGCCTGAGACATTTCCATAATTCAGTTCTATTTGCAGTTCCTCAGTAACACTCCAATGCCGGTCCTTGTTATTTAGGAGTTTTTTTCCTCCTTTTTGCCACTCTTTTTTCATGACTATAAACTCTGAGGCTACCAGCCAAGTGCTGTACAGCTGTTAATGTCCTGCACAACAGAGAGGAGAGCAGAGGCTGTCAGCACCACCACAGGCTGAGAGGGAGCAGAACCCTTTCCTCTGCAGAGCTCAATGGCAGGCAGCACACACTCGTATTCCCATCCACTGCCTTAGAAGCAACACTGCCAGGCTAGCTGGTTTTTTTCCAAGAGAAGAATTAGACCCTATACACCCAGAAGCACATGCTAAATAAAACATTTTTTAATTAAAAACACAGCAGAATTTAAGTTCACAAGGTCTCTGTGAAAGCAAAGAAACATGACCTTCTAGTTTCTCTAAACTCTGACGTCCGTACATAGACAAACTAATTACCCATCACTATAAACAACCACAGACAGTTCCTGCCTCCTCACTGGATAAGCCTAAATGCACCTGCTCCCTTTCCTTTAATGATAAGCCAACTCCTACCCTGAAAACGCCTTCTTTCAATGATTAAAGAGCTACAAGGCAAGTGCCAGTAATAAAGTTACATTTTTTTTCCTTCTGTAATCTAATCTTTGCCCTGTAGAAACTGCTGATGAGAGCTCAGTTCCACTTAAAATTTACATAAAAACAATCCATATCATGTTGCATGGAAAAGGACTGTTGCCCCAGTGTTTATTGGCATGGTGATACAAAGACTGAGAAATTAGTCTGATGCAAAAAATGATGTACAGCTTTGTATCAGCACCAAACAGGCTTTCATGCATAGTTGCTATTTTTGGAAGATAATGATCTGTGAGTGGTAAAGCAAATGAACTTCTTAATGATGACAAATACAGGAGAATGTACAGTACTGAGTAGAGAACATGATGTCCAACCAAAGAAAGATTTATGGGAGATAGTTACGGTACCTAAGATATATAATGGCAAAATAAGAGAACAGGAAAAGCTTCTGGAAGATCTTGTGTGTCTACCTGGAATAACAATTTACTTCCAGACAAAGGATGGAATGTACAGTCCACTGCATGCTTCTAGCTGATACTAACATTGCTTTGGTATATTTATATGCATATAAAGCGTAAGACATGCATTACTTTATCCAATTTAAATACAATTTTAGAAGCTATAGTGAAAAAATTGCGGTTTTAACTAGTGTGAAAATATGCAAACGATTAGTTTTTATATTGTTGGGATGTTCCTATAAAGTTCTCTCTATATATCGGGTGGTTTTCAGCTACTTGTATGGAAAAACTGGCAAGGTGATGTTCTCACAACTAAAATTTCATTGTGCTCTTAAAAGGTTTTGAATTGAAGAGATTCCTATACAGTAACCTAAGATACAACAGTGGCAAATAAAATTCAATGCACTAAATATAGTATGGATAGTAAAATTTGTCAACAGAAGCTAGCATAATAATGAAAACAATGCATTTGTGCTATTTCAGGTCTCACGTCTGAAAATATATTAAAGAGGAAAAAGTCACACAATTTATGGCTAACTTCAGGGTAGAGGATCAGTCAGCATTTTGAGAGACAGCTGAGGAATGGGAGAGGAAAGCCACAGCCTTTCAGGGTGAGAAAACACTGCCTGCTGAGCTGGGCCTTCCAGCGGGGAGCCGGGCTGGTGGAGCACGAGCCCGTTCACCTCCATCCAACTCACACCTTCGAGAAACCCGGCCCGCCGGCCGCCACGGAGCCGCTTGTGTACGCGGAAACCGGCGTCCCGCAGGTACGCGTGGCCTCCACATGAAACCTGCTCTGCTCCAGGTTAAGCGTCTCCCGCGCTGTGCTGGCAGACGAACAGCCTGCGGACAGGGCGCGGGGAAGGCAGCGAAGCCCTGCCCGCCGCCCGGCCTGCCCCGACGGCAGCGCTTGGCCCGAGGGAGCGGCTGAGGGCAGCTCCCGCTGTGCCTCACTCACCTGCAGCCCGTGCGTGCCGGCGCGGCCCTCGGCGGCGCGGGGCGGCTGCACAGCGGTGCCGGCGGCGGGCAGCGGCGGAGTCGGGCGGCGCGGACCCATCCGAGCCGGGGAGCTGCCGGGAGCTGCCCGCGGGCCTGCCCGCTCCTCCCCGGGCCCCGCTACCTGCGCCCAGGTCCCGCCCGCGGCCGCGGGGCCAAAGGCGAGGCGAGCCCGCGGCGCGGGCGGGGTGCGGCGCTCAGGTGTTTTCCACCTCGCAAGACATCGACCGCGGCCGGGTCACAGAGCCACGCGCGGTGAGGAGAGGCAGGAGCGGACCAGGCGCTGAGAAAGGGCGATTTCAACGCTACAGCTTTCCTCATCAGCTTTCTTTCCCCCCTTCGCCTACCCTAAGTGGCTTAAGGTAGCGACGAGCCATCTCCAGGTTATTTTCTCGAGCGAGTGTTGGAGGTGGCGGGGCAGTTGCAGCACGTAGGTGCAGTCAGGATCCTGGCGGTGGTATCTGGTGAAGGGCTTTGGCTCAAGCTGCTCGCATCTGTGAATTGCAGCACGTAGGTGCAGTCAGTATCTGGTGAAAGGCTTTGGCTCAAGCTGCTCGCATCTGTGAACAGCAGTGCCCTCGGGAATCTTCCAATGGGGCGTTTCGAGCTCAGCTTCTGTGCAAGAGGTGAGAAAGGAAGGCTCGACAAACTAGTGCCCTCGGGAATCTTCCAATGGGGCTCTTCAAATGGGGCGTTTCGAGCTCAGCTTCTGTGCAAGAGGTGAGAAAGGAAGGCTCGACAAACTGACTGGAAGAATTGAGCAAAATAAGATCGGGTAGTTGGTTCCCCACTTTGGCATCTTATGTATTTTAATAAACTTCTCTCAAACTTGTGAGTTCTGGTTTCATCATGAGCACTTTTTTTTTTTTTTAAGAGTCTCTCCCGTGTAAAGTCAGCGAGTCTGAGGACAGCACTTTTAGATAGAAAATACAGGTGTTGCCTGATAAATGAATGAACACCACACTACACTGACTTGTAGTCCAAGGTAAAAGCATTACAGTGAAAATTGCTGCAGAGGTTGCTTGTTTCTTAGGGCACTGATAAGGGAGGCAGAAATGAAAATGGAAAGCTGGTGCACACTGACTCAGTCTTAAAATGAAAAATCATTTCAACACTACTTCCAGAGCAATCACTGTGGGTCAAAAAAGAAATTCAATTATAGGTTTTATTTCTGCCAAGTAGCATTGTTTTAAAAATATTCATGCTATACTGGCAAAAGTGATTTTATAAAATATTTCTATGTGCAGGAAAGACATACCCTCATGTAAAGCAAATCTGAGAAGTACATTGTTCACTTGCTCGGTTGCACTGCAGCTCTGACAACAAAGACGTTTTCTGCTTTGTGTACTCTATATAATTGCTTGGGTGTAGGCTGCATTCAAGATAAAAAATGTTTGTTCTTCTCCCACCTCAGGAAATAAAAGCACCAAAAATACAACATAGATGAGAAGCACAAGATAGGAAACTTAAAACTAAGTTTAGACTTTTGCATCTGCTGAAATAAATTATTAAACTGCTTCATGTACTTTAATAAAAATCAAATGTGGGACAGCCTAGAGAAAAATCAAATTACAGTATATTAGAGTCAGGTAAAAAAAAATCCATTGGAAGGGAACATAATTTCAGGCAATACCTTTATACATAATGTTTTAATTACAAACCAATATTATTTTTCCAAAGTTTATTAATAAAAAATCTGATCCTTGTCATGAAATAAGGTTGTCTGTTGATATATTCAATCCAAGTGGAGTCCTATGAAAATTTTATCCATCTTATCAAGCTCTTTTTCTTCTGTTTGGAAAGTGTCCAAAATGTAAAACTAACTGAAATATCTTTCCACATGTTCAGATAACAGTGCATGTTAATACCACAAAGCTATGTATGATTCATTCATCTTCATTTCACTTACTCCCTCTGCTGGGAATTAGCGCGAAAGTTCAGTGGATCAGAGGAAAGATCATTAAGAGTGCAACATACATTAAAAAGCCTCTTTTGCTTCTTTTATTAAAATATCACACTTCTTTACAGACCCTCCGTTCTGTATCAGTAAATCAATTTGCATTTCTTTTTGCAGGGCTATTCATCCCAAAATGATGAGGAAGGAGAAGCTAAAGCAAATTAACTAGTTAAATAAGGAATATATACTAAGTTCTTATGCATCCTACTTTGTGTCTTAGTAACTGCCAATATCGAAGATTAAATAAATATAGAAAAGCAACTGAGTAACAGAACTACTAAACTATACCTGATGCTGATAGCCATGTTGTTAATATTCCACTGCCTACACTGACACCAGCAGGATTATTTGTTTCAAGAAGAAAGGGGCTAGAACAAAAATTCAGTTGTAGTATTACCAAACACTACCCCATACCATGAACACTTTTTTCTGCTCAAAGACTAAAACCTAATACTCCACTGCCTACACTGACACCAGCAAGATTATTTGTTTCAAGAAGAAAGGGGATAGAACAAAAAATTCAGTTGTAGTATTACCAAACACTACCCCATACCATGAACACTTTTTTTCTGCTCAAAGACTAAAACGACTTCCTTTAACACTGACAGCAGAATTTTAACTCTGATTACATATTGCTAAAGTTCAAGCTTTATTAGTGACTGAAAAGAAGAAAAAGAATGATGACAGTGGTCAACCAAGGGAGACCAACAGATGTCATATTGTAATGGAGATACCACTCTGCATCCATACATCCTGCTTCTTCTAGTTTGCAGAAAAGATAATAAGGAGGAGGATACCAGAGATACTGAATTCTTTCTCCTAGAATCCCTGTAAACTAGTTATGCTCAAGTGAAGTACCTTCTACTGAGTAGTGGGAACAGTTTCCACTGCCACAGGTAATAAAACTTAGTGAGAAACAACTCTATAACCTGTGGCTAAAAATTATCACAAATACTTTTACAAATAGTATAGGTTTCTTTGTTATGCAAACCACATGATTTTAGGTCATAACAGCATAGCTGAATTTAAAATACTCTTATTTTGTATAAAACCACAAATTGTATTTCCAGGTTTGCCTATGTAAAAATATTGTGGTAAGAGGAAATTTAAATATATGTGTAAAAATCAAGTATAGTATTGTTCATAGTTGTAAATAAGTGCCACAAATGCAAACAAATTATAAATATATTATTTTGTGTACATCTCTTTCCAATCAAAATACTGTAACTAAGCAATGACAAGAAAATCACAAGTAACCCTATAGTTGCAAATAAGAGCCACAAATGCAAACAAATGATAAATAGATTTTTTTTTTTGTGTACGTCTCTTTCCAATCAAAATACTGTAACTAAGCAATGACAAGAAAATCACAAGTAACCCATATAATTAGGAAATAGATACTATCACAAAGTGTGTAACACATTTCAGGCTGGGCATATACAACAGTAATTCCTGGGTATTGAAAAAATTAAGATGTACTACAGATTAGAGCGTTTACAACCAAAAGTAAAGACCTGTAAAAACTCTGAGCTCATTTTTGGCCTTTAATATTCAGTCATGGTCTGAAGGATTTTAGAATATACTATTGAGGCAGTGCATACAATTCCCAACCAACAAACACCATTCCAGTCCTCTTGGGCTATTACTACAGACATTGCCAACAAGCAAGTTTATTGTCAGATAAAGCATATTGTTTGCAAACTTCAGCAAATTCAATTATTTTTTTCAATTGTTTCTTTCTTTCAGTTTCTGACTTAGATCAGACATAGGGGAATTGCCACTACAGTGATCCAGCTCTCTGAATATACTCACTTGAATGGGTTTTTTCCTTAATCATCAAAAATTATGCAGCAATTAGTTGCTGTTGGAAGTCACTTAAGTCTGTATGTATTCACCGTTGACAAAAGTTCCTTGGGCTCCAATCCATGATATTGTAATTCCCTTGTAGTTTTCCTGCAAAAATTAAAGTTTTCATTTCCAAAACAATTTTTAAGGAAAGGCTAACCCTAATAAAAAGGCTATTACTTTACCAGAGTACTCAAGAAAAAGCAGATTTATTACATCTTGATATTCATAATCTCATATTCCTTTATTCCTCTCTCCATAAGAGAAGAGCTTTTAAGTCCAAAATGCTTAAGAATCTTCTGCTTTTACTTTTTAGGTGAGCACCTAGCCCCTCTTTACTGACTTCTTCATTATGTTACATGGAAAAGCATCATCATTGCAACTAAAGAATTACATCTTAGGACATGGGCCTCTGCACAGCATATCCACTCCCAAAAAGAGCTCCTTTTATCTGTAGTAAGTTTATCTAATATCTGCTTCTCACCTTCTAGATGATAGGGTATTAGTTTTATAGATCAAGATCACATATCTCAAACTGGTTTGTGATCATCTTCTAGGAAAAAAAAATCAATACGACAGTATGATTGCAAAACAACAAATCTCTTTCTCATCTTCCAGCATAATGAAATTATCATCTTCTCTCATCTGGGAAAAGTGTACAATATGCCTTTTAATAACTGCATAATGGTTCATATCATTATGTCTGCTCCTACGGTCTTTATTTATAATTTGCAAGCAGTCCCATTAACACTGGTGATTGCTGATCTGACTTCTGTGGCTGTCTGCCAAATAAGGAATGAAGAACCAGAACCTCCAAATTCAGCTCACCTGTACTGAAAACTATTGTAATTCTTGTGGAAGATAATCCTAAAATTTATGTTGAACATATATATCTATACTTTAATTTTTTTAAAAATATTATTCATGAAACTATTTTTAGAGACTTTTTAAAGACACCTGTTCCTAAAAAGCAACATGGTTGCTTTATTTCAGTATTAGGAGCATTCATATGGGTTATGCTGTCTTTAATTATTACTCAGACATGTATGTTGATGTTGAGCAGTCAGTTTATCACAAAAAAAAACTCGTATAAAAGAATATATTTGCAAGTTTATGCTTAATCCATTATTGTGAGCGACATGCCTTTTCTTGCAAAAATAAACCAGAGACCTACTAAGTTTTTTTAATGAAGATAGCAAAAAGGATTAATCTAGGTGTGGATTCTGAAAGCACTTTGAGGAAATTTCCTAGACTCTTTAACAGTCAGTCCAGATAATTTGACAGATTAGATTTTATTGTATAAAAATGTCATAGCACATTTGATGTGTAAGGCAATATTTGGACTCCTATCACCTAAGAAAATCAGACAGAAAAGGTCTTTCCCACCAGGTCTGCAACACAAACTGCAGGACACATCCTTTTCACTTCACTGGAGCAAGGACTCTGGTACAATAAATATCTAGATAAAGATGGAATAATAAGAAAAAGTTACTGTCCAATTTACTCCTGATATCACATGATCCATAGAATGAAAAGGTGACTGTCTGCCTCATCTCCCATCACGGACTGTCTGCTGAAATAGCAGCTGGAGAGAAGGAAGGGCATTAATTGTGATTCCAACACTACTATCTCATTATACTTCATGTATACTGCAGAGTCACACATTAGCTGTGGAAGAAGCCTCTCCAGTTTCTAGCAGCTGTTTCTACAATACCCTTTTCAATCCGTGGTGACTTCTCTTAAAGTGGCTGAAAAATGAGATGTCCTCTCCAGGATGACTCTCCTGGAATAGTAGTACACTACCTAACAGGAAATAACACCAAGATCATATTTCATCAATTCCACAAATATCTATTTTAAAAGCCTTAATTGTGTGATTCTGATGATTATTACACCCAAATATTTGCATTAATATTCTTGCTTTTACTCTCAGGCAATATTCTACATTTGTTTTTATTTTGTTATGATCTCAATGAATTTTCTAAATCTTCCTAGAGTTAGCTGAGAGGGAAATCATTCATAGATATTTCATACATTTCTACCATTTCATCTCATTCTTGATTGACACTCTAAATTATTGACATAAAATTTATCAAGAACTTTAGTACTGTTGACATTAAAGCAAATATGCATATCAAATATAGATTGCTTATACAAAGCAGACATTTCCAGGTTCAGATCTCTGCTCTATTTTAGGACAGCCTTTTCTAACAGGCTATTTCATTCATACCTGTATCACTACACTACACAAAACTGATAAATTCTTTCAATTTAAGCTTTTAAAATGTAGCACAGCCTGCTAATGGTTGTTATTATTGCATTTTTTAAAATGAAAACAATCCCCAACCATTTAGCATAAACAAGTAACTAAGGAGTTTTCAAGGGAATTGAGCAACCTGGTCTAGTGGAAGGTTAGAACTAGATGGTCTTTAATGTCCCTTCCAACCCAAATAATTCTAGAATTCCAGGATTCTGTAAGTCTGAAACAACTTTAGGTCTTCCCATGTAGCAAAAAATAAAAGTCTAACAAGGACTTGGATGAGGAAAAAAAGTTACTAATTATGTTAGTTATTACATATGAATTATATATCTTGAATTCTCAAAAATGGAAAATAACCAAACACAAAAATTGAGCTCATTGCCATGCAAAAGCTACATAGATTTAATTAAGAAAAACTTAGCTCAAAACAGTCTGAAAATTTTAAACCTGGCTCACTTACTTAATTTTTAAACTCATTGTACCCTAGTCATGTGCAAAAGTCACGTAAGGCCAACCAGGATAAAAAAGCCCAAATCAAATCATAACAGAACACCAAGCAAAAATCCTCCACAAAACCAGAAAAAAAAAAAGGAACATCAAGATAGAAATTGAATTCCTAATCTAGCTGGAAGATTAGTCTTCATTTGTTATTTAGCCAGAAGTGTACTTCTTAGAATGGAATTTTATCACCCTGGAAAGGGAGTAATGCAAATAGAAAAAGCACCATAATTGTTAGTATCAGCGTGGTGACTACATGGATTGTTTCCTCTTCTCTTTGTAAGTATCAAAAGTAGAAGAAAGTGTTATGGTAATTAAAAGTAAATGAAACTGTTCCAAGTGACACAATGTTTCTTTCAACATATTTAAGAGCTACACTGTACTCAGATGAAGGAGGAGTAGACACAATTCTATCAGAGGAATGAAGACTCCCTGTACTTTCTATCAAGGATTGGCAGTAGCTAAAACATAATTGTCATGCACAGCTGTGTTTTCTTCCTAAGGGCACCAGAACCAGCTTGCTGACCCGAGGAAACTTGCCTCATATTATTGGGAGCCATTTTTAATACTTAGAGAAGCCTTTGATAGCAAAGATTAGTCAAGTGCCAAAGGAAATAATCTCAGTGAACAAATTAAACTTGGAAGCACATAATCATTTCAAATGCAAGTCATGAACTGGGACTTCTTCTCCCTCCACTGGAAATATTTTTTTATGCATGCTGTCAGCTTCTAAATTTTATTTTAAAAGGAAATGTAGTTTTCATCATACACTTCTCTGAAAGACAGATCAGTGAGTCTCTTTGTATTATTCTCTTACTGAGATTTATTTCTATGTATCCATTGTCTCAATTTTCCCTGAAAAGATATCCATGGTAACTACAGGATTAAAACTAAAAACTGTAAACATCTCCAGGGAGGAAGAGCCTAATTTTAAGGTTATTCAAAAGTAAGTAGAGTGCTGCTTGTGGTATTCCTGTGCTGTTTGAGTTGGCAAGGCCAGTGGACTAGAGTCTACTGAAGTGCCCTGAAACTGATGGATATTTAAGAGATGCTGGAATCCCCAAAGGGAAAATTGCAAAATGGAAGTCCAGCCATTTTGAGTGTAAGAAATGGGGCCTGGATATTAGATCAATCCATAACTCCTGCATCTGGCTCTATGGGAAGGAAGTATGTGGGATTGGATAATCCTCTTGAAAGTTTTGAAGGTACATACTTCTCTGGGATCCTGGTTTCAGTCTGTCAGTTGTTCACGTTAAGGAGAATCTAGTCTGTGTTGGATTGGGAAGCTATAAGGTAGGGTGGCTACAACAAGCCCTGGGTTTCAGTGTGGCTCAGCCATTACCACAGACCCACCTGTGGAGGGGACCACTGAAGCAGGTCACTAAGGCCTGCTGGGGAGTGATCACATTCAGCACTGGCTCAGGGAGCTGCATCTAGGGACAATAAAAGGACTTGCTCTAGCAACAGCAGTGCAGCAATCCCAACAGTCCCTGTGCTTGGTCACCACAGCCAGGGAAGGACAATAATTAAAAATTGTTGTTTCCACGGGAGCCTAAACTGCTTCTACAGTCAGAGAGATGGGAGGGATGGGGAGGTGCTTTTCCTGGCTGGTAAAGAAAAAGCCAGTCTGATGGGTGTCACTGTTTTGGTGCCTATTCAAGGTCTGACAATGTTGGCACTTCCACCTCCTAATTTCAGGCATTATTTCATTCTGCACCAAGACAGTAAATAAATATGACTAGTTCAACCAGTGTTATAAAAAGGATAGCATATACCCACTTCTTCAAACTAACAACAAACCAGTCACTACTCACAGCTGTTGCTTCCATTATGTACTAACATGATAATATTAATGATAGGATTTTTCTTATATGGCCAATTTTCTGTTTTTCACTTGCCAGTGGCAGAAAAATACTTTGGCTCTGAGAAACTGCTTAATTGCTTTCCATGAAGAAGATGATCTTCCCAGAGATGTCCTCTTCAGACCCCTAATCCTTACTCATTAGAGAACAGAATATCAACAATTTACTACTTAAATGAGACACCTCATTCTCAGACCTGTGCTACAATCATATCACTCTGCTTCTTTTAGCTCGCTCTTTTACATATCCAAAATAATACCCAAAACTGTAATATTTTACCCTCAATACACCCATGAAATAGAGAAGTATTGTTTTTTCAAAGATAAGAAAACTATCTTATCTTTGTAAGACACCAAGACTACACAGATAAATTAATTAATGAAGCAGGACAGAGACCATTCTCTGGTGCTATGGCCAAATCATGTGAAATAGGTCCTACATGTTGTTAAACTCTCTTCTTGCAAAATTAAAAATATATCTATTTGTCATCCTGCCATTTGGGAATCACCCATAGCACCTCAAGTAGTACCTGGGAAAATGGGGGTGGGTACAGGCAAAAATCATTCCAGAGGTGCAAAGAACTAGTAGGCTATAAAGCAGCAGTATAAACAACTAGTCACCTGGATTTTCACTATAGATCAAGACAGGCATCAGTATAAATGAGTGAAGAGAGATGAGTATCTTCAGGAAAGTGACCCACCTGATCCTAAACCAGGCTATTTCAGAGGGTAGTTAATCTCAGCTGTCTCATTCTGTTGGCTACACATGCAACCTACATAACTAATTTAGACAGCATGTGTAACAGCTGAACAGCCTAAATTTAGTGACATGAATAGTCTCCAAACACATAGGAGATGTACAGCAGTGTAGACCCAAACTTTGTTGTTTATCTGACTAATTAGCCGAAGTCTTAGTACTATACTGCATTTCACCCCAATTAGCTGCAGGAAGCACAATACAAAAACATATACTTGCCTATCAAAGTGCTCAGTCCCCAGCTGTGTTTTGGTGATATCCAGTTCTGACTCTGAGCTGCTCTGTTTCTGAGGTGAGTAAAATCTTGATTCTGCACAGCACTGTGAAGTCCATACACATTAATTAGATAGCAACTGTAATTCTCCAAGCATGTAGCCACATGCAATTATTCAAAATCAAAAGGGCAGCTGTACTATGCAAATGAGATTATGAACATTTTTTGGAGCAAAATATAACACTATGAAGAAGAGTCTATTAGGGTTTAACTGAGAAATCCAAAACAGGTTCTTGGTATGTTCTGCTAATAATATAGTCAAGGCACACTGGCCATTTGAAAATGCAGCTAGATATAAAACCACCTTCTGTTCAAATACACTTGAAAATAATGGAAAAAAACCTGCAATACTCTCCTGGTCATTCACTCACCAATTATTTTCTACTAAAGCAAGCTGTTCCTTGTGAAACTGAATTTCAGAGACTTCCTCTTGGTTTGCTCTCTGTGGCTGAAATTCCTTCTCACAATTGGACACAAGTGAAGATTCCAGGTTTTTTATAGATGCTTTTTTATTTCCCAGCAGCTCTGTTTCAGAATGGTTTGATGCACCCTTGCTCTGCATATAAACAAAGATTTTAAAGTTTCAGGTGATGTTTGTCAAGCTTACTGGCATTCTATTGGGGTACACTTAAAAAAAAGATAAAAATAAAAAAAGGAAGTCTGGGATCAATGACAAAATTCATTTTCACTGCAAGATGGGTGGTTAGTTTTATATTTTCCCAGTCAAAATCCTCTGTAAGATTTATAAAATCATCCAATGCATATATTTTAATATAAATATACTTGATACAAATGAGAAAAGGCTATTAAATAGACGGATCAATGGATTCTGTAGACAGAATCATTAATGAAGAAGAAAGAAGTTTCACATTTTGTTGAGGCAAGAAGATATTGATTAACTCTTTGCACATGGGAAATAACATGTGGTACTACAAACCAGTACCAACATCACCAGCAGAGTGAGATTACACTTATTTTTCTTACAGGAAGGAGCATCAAGAATAAACTGAGGAGAAAGGGAAAATTAATAAAATCCAATCAAAGAGATTAAATATCTATCTTTGAGGAACCGAAAAAAGAATACCCAAAAAACCTAGTATATTTCACTGCAGAGGGAACGATGGACATACCTGAGACATAGCTACAAACACACATTAAAAAATCATTCCAGAGACTGAGAATCAGGAAAATCAGTATTGGGTCAGCTACAGAGACAGAGAAAACTGCCTGTTTTAATGTTAATATAAGTAAACTGGATGCTATTTTCCCTTCATTTTTTCATGCATGCATTATAGTCTCACTAAGTGCATCTGGGGTGCTGCAACATTTTTATCTGTATTTTACTAAAGCCTAGTTTACATTAAGCACAACAATGCTCAGCCAAAGGTCATGGGAAATCTATGAACTGAGACATCTTAACAAACTCTCCACCTCTCCAGCACATTTCTCAGAAATTTCAGAAGATAACCACTTGTGCATTCAAAGGAGGAAGATACTGGAAGAACTTAGATCATAGGCCAACAGAAGGCAGAAATAAAATAAAAAAGAAAGAAAAAAGAAAGAAAAAAAGAAAGAAAAAAAGAAAGAAAAATAAATAAAAGAAAAAGAAAAAAGAATGAAAAGAGAAAGAAAAGAGAAAGAAAAAAGCAAGAAAAAGAAGGGGAAAAAAAGAAAAAAGGAAAGAAAAAGGAAAGAAAAAAGCATTTGTTATTTATCAAAAGTGGGCTTTTTTCCTTTTACCAAATTAAACTGAAAGGTTTCAGTACTTTCATTCTGAAAGATTCCATTTTCTTTGTCACTCAAAAATCTAGTTCCTTTGCAGAGAAACAATTTTGATATTCTACATCTGTATTTCAGAAAAAAAAAAATACTGAAAACTGTAGACAGAAGATATAAGAAAATAAACAGTATTAGAAACATTAAAAGAACAATATTATTTTGTATTTCAGAAAAAAAAGAATACTGAAAACTGTAGACAGAAGAAGATATAAGAAAATAAACAGTATTAGAAACATTAAAAGAACAATATTATTCAGAATCAGGTTTAGTTTCCTCTTCTGAATATAAATATGCTGCAATCTAATAATGCAGATTCTGTGCTGTATAACGAGCCTTATCTGAAGGTTATACATGGCTAATGAAAGACTACTTGTTGAAAGATACAGAAAAATTAGTGAAAATTTCCCAACTTCTGACTTTTCTCCAACTCTCCAACTGCATTTCTGCAGTTTTCTTTCCTGAAACTGTTGCTGTTCTCCACAGTCCCAGCAATCCCCTTCACAGAAGGATCCAGGAAGGCTTAGCCATATTAGATCTCATAAAAGTTTCAGATAAATGTCATATGCAGGAACTCTTCCACATCAAAAGAATCATAGAGGATTTCACAAGGATACAAAAGACATCACACACATTTGGCTGGAATGCATAACCAACAAGCAAACAGCAGCTTTACCACTGTGCTTCCAAAAGGCATAAAGGTTTAAAGAGATTGCTGGAAGCCTATAAAGAACAAGAAATTGTCTCAGCTAGGATAGACAGGTCACTAACAGAACCATGCTGGAAGTACCTGAATAATCTGAGTGTGTATGAACAACTTTTCAAAGTTTATCCAAACTGAATTTTTAAAGATGTGTGTATCACACATTAATGTTCTAGTTTTGGTAAAAATCAAGGTCAACAAAAACTGATTTTTAAGGGAAATTAAGAAAATATTAATGATATTGATACTTCCTAAATTAGTCAGTCATTTTAAAGTCCACACCAAGTTTCATTGCTAATAAACTGCTCCAGCTATTCTACTTACCTAGTGACTAGATGTAAAATCCAAGATACCTTTCTTGAAAACAACAGTAATTTTTAGCCCTGACTTTTGAGTGTTCATAGTAAAGCCCTGCAAAGCAGTGAAGCAGTGTCCTTTTCAAAAAGTGTTCAACTTATACCCTGTGAGGAATAAGCCCCTGAGAAATGCCAAATTCAACATTTAAAAAATTGAAAAAGTGATCATTCATGATCCTAAAGTATATTTGGATCCCTTAAGTGTAATATTAGCATAAACTTATTTTTCTAATATATTTCACATACCCTTTCTACTTTCTCTGCTGTGGAAATTAAATGCTACTTTAATCATTCTTTGATTGCATCTGCTTTAATGCAAAGTTCTGGTGTAGATGTGACATTTCCAAGTACAGAGGCTCTCTCCTAATGCATGTTTTGAGGCCCTCTGCCCATTTTCACAAGAGAGTTGCTTAAGGCAGAAATAGGAAACTTGTATGCTGCTTCTGTTGTTAAATGCTACCGTAAAGCAATACAAAGCTCTACTAAAAAAAAAAGTTAAAACAGCTTCCAAAATCCTACAAAATATCTCTATATAATTGGGGCAGATTTTAAGAGGTTGCAGTAATTTATTCTACAGTAAACTTTAAAGTTATTTATTTAAATAATTCCTGTATTTAAAAAATTAGAAGAGTTCTTGCTTCTGACAGCAAAATTATCTACTGGCGTTTTAAACTATTCCTAGAATTCTACTCCTTTTGCAGAATTAATAAGGTGGAAAATTCTGCCATGGACTGCATTTTATTTTCAGATGAGATCCTCTTATTTTAGCAATAAAATTTGGGTTTGTATATGGATGATCTCTGAATGTTGAGATTCTGACAGTCATATTTATACTGCTGTCACCTGTAAATTCAGGCATGACTAAGACATGAGAGAGTCACATTAAAGTGGAGTCCACAAGGCAGCAGCAGCAGCAGGTCTGACTAGAAGCATTAAGAATAAGACATGAGACATTAAAGTGGAGTCCACAAGGCAGCAGCAGCAGGTCTGACTAAAAGCATTAAGAACTTTGTACATTTCAAATTAACATGACCTAGGTTTTTCCAGGTCTGACTAGAAGCATTAAGAACTTTGTACATTTCAAATTAACATGACCTAGGTTTTTCCTTTTTGAAAAATGCCTGTACTTTGCCCAGTGATACTCCTGGTCAGCCACTTTCAACTCCTTAAGTTTCAGTGTGTGGCAGAATGAGTGTGGGAGGTTAGCAGAGCAAAGTGAGAGGTAAGGCACTGTGATTTGCTTGAAGGATTTACTGGAAATTACATCCAAAGAGATTATTTTATAGGAGCACATCACATTAATTCTAGCTCTGTCTCACCAAAAAAAAAAAGAAAAAAAGGCACAAGGAACGCAGAGCACTGCTGAGCACATTAAGATTTTTGAATACAAACTTCTGTGGTTTAGATCCATGCCTTGCATGTAACTGTATAAAGTGGAATATGACATTTGGAATTGTCCCAGTGTGTTGACATAGTGTTCATGAAGAGGCCTGTTCATTCCTGTACTTAATAGCAGGCATGTGGGAAGGAATTAGAAGGATGAAATATCTGCTGTTTCAGGCTTGTTGGACAAACTAGAACCATGTACCAGTTTTATTCTATCTTCAAGGAATGCCAAAATCTGCCAAAACACCCTCCTGTGCTGTTCTGCTATTGCTGTGTTCTCACCCACTTCATGAACAGCCACAGATTGGTTCCCCTAGAGTACCTAATGCTCTTGAGTAGCCCTCAGCAGTTTATGTGATATTCAGGAAACACAGATGATCTGCAATAAAAATTGGAGAGCCCCCAAACCATGTTTATATGCTCACAATGTAATTCTAAGGCCAAGCTATGAATTTTTCTTTAAGTTCTTCAGATTTTCAAGTGGGAAGAGGCTCTTTGGGACATCTAAAGCAGTGGAAAGAAGGCTAAGAAGCTCAAAGCAAGAAGAGCAGGGACAGGAATGTGACAGGTGACAAAGTACTTGATATGATTCAGGTATGCTGAGTTGTGTATGACTTTATTCCTTCAGTGATTCCAAACCATGAGAGCATTTAATTTTTTTATATTCCTTGAAATGTTTTTTAAGATTTTTTCCCCAAGTGTGACTAGTGGAATTCTAATCATATTATTATATACAGTAAAATGCATACAGTTCATGGTGAAAAATCGAAGTGGCATTAAACAGAATTTTAAAATATTACCAGACCATTTCAAGGGTGAACTATGGAAAGAATGATTTCAACTCACTTGCTCCATCTGTATTTCAAGGGACTCTGTTTTCCCTTTCCAACTGTGGCTCTCAGATTGCACTGATCACTGCCAGTCTAACAGGAAAAGCCTGTTTCTGCTTCATGGCATTTTGCTTCCCAGCTTTCTCCTTGTTCACAGGCTTTGTGATAAGAGCTCACAGTTCTCTCTCCTAACACATAAAGCTTATTTATTTAATAATTTACAGTAAGCTCCAAAAAACAGGGATATTTATAGATCTACAGATATGGTATTGGATATACTCTTTCAACTGAAAATTCTGCCATTTAGTGAAAACATTGAGAGACTTCTCAGGAACCAGAGTTTTGTCCAAGATGGGTACATTTTAATGATCAATAGACATCTGTTAAGAATGCCTAGGTGAACATTAGACATACAAAGTATGCCAACATAGTGCAGTAATACCCATTTTTACTTTAATCCCATAAAGTAATAAAGATAAAAGAATTCCAAGTCTCTGTATTATTCCCTGTCTGATTTTTCAAGTTTAATAAGCACACACATATGTGTGTGTATATATATATACATCTACAATGAAATATTCTACATTAGTTTTGTGCTGCAAAATCAGCCTTGAAAATGTGTACAAACTACTAAAACTAAATTAAGGGAATGCAAATGAGTTTTGGTTAGGAAGCAAATTCTTCTATGGACATATCTAAAAATTTCATTTTTAGTTAAAAACCAACAGTTTTAATTTGTATACTCACTTTAGACTTCAGCACATTCTTCAGCCTGAAAATATCTCTGTTTGAATCCTGGGCTTTCAATTTCATATCATCAAGCTCAGTTTGGTACTTTGCTTGTTTTTTATTTAGTACCTATGAAGAAAGTTTTTTCCATAAGTTTAAGAATACTGCTTGTACCTTAAAAAAAATAGTGTGTATTTAATGTCTATGCCTTTATTAAATAGTTTTAAAAAGCTATGTGAAATATAAATTATGTGTATTTTTATAAACCAAATTTTTCATTTGTGATTTTTTTAACTTATAAATAATACAAAATCTTCTTAGAAATAAGAAAAATATCTGTAAAGGAATGCAGCAGGTAAAAAAGAAAAAAAATGGTTTATTTAGCAGCTAGATTTTGGTCTCACTTAAGAATTTAACACCTGATCTAAAGCCATTAGCTATACCATCTCTATAATGAAAGGAGAGAGGTCAAATTAATCACTTTAAAAACTGGGGTGGCAGGAATCTCCTGGAGGACTTTTCTTCACTTAAAAGGGACCCTTAATGACTTCAAAGTTCTATATACCTGACATCAGGTACAGTTAATTTGCTCCTTTAAAACAGAGTAGCACTTCTAGAGGAAGTCAAGTGAGCAGTAGAGCAAGTGCACAGATCAAGTACCGAAAAACCCAAATGAAGGCAAGAAGATGAAGAAAAAGAAGAAAACCCACATCACCCACAGAAGTGATGAACTCCTACAGGTATTAAGCTAAATTTCTAGCTGCCTGGAAAACATACATATCAGTGCAGGAGTATTGTGTGTGCATGAGATGACACTTGAAATATTTTAACTACTTTCAGTAGGAACTGCACAGAGATAAAATACACAGTGGATAATGTAAAGCTGTATTATAACCCACTATTTCAAGTATCTTCTATCCAAAAGCAGCTCTTGAAGAAACATAAATACAGTATGTGTTGTCACTGAAACTTACACTTGCCAGAGCTCTGTCGCATAATTTTAAAATGCAAAAACCTTCAATAATGAAAGAAAACAAGAGTTTTGCATTCAAAATGTTAAAACTTTCAGAAGTTTATTTATTTGCATTCAATGCCTTTTCTTTCAATCTATTAAAAATGACTGCAGAATATGAAAATTAGCCTATCGAATTTTATTATGAAAATTGAATCTGTCACTCACCAGCTTTTTCATCTAAATGCATAATTTTCTCTTGGTTAAGTTGCATTTCAAGTTTTTACTTCACAAATCTTCACTGAATCTCTGAAAGACTCAGTTCTGTCTTTTCATTCAATAAAATGGAAAAGCAGAAGCATTAAACATGAGAATTCAGATACTGATTTTTTTTTCTTTTAGAAAGTTCACTAAAATTGCAAAAGATATGAAAAATCGAGATTTTTCTGTCTATTTTTGACTGTTTGGAATATTTTATTAATGTTAACTTTAATCTCAGTATATTAAATTCTGAATATTTGTGTAAACACTATAGAAAAGTAAGAAAAATTCTTTGCAACAGGTGATTATAAGAAAGTCACAAAAGTAATTATAATAAAAACCATCCCCTGGGACATCCATTGGAATGCCTGACCTGTTTCAAGTTATAACTAAGTGATCTGTTTAAATAGAGTAATATTAATGATTCTCACACTGTTCAGGAAAATGAAAAGGATCATCAGTTTGGTTTGGGGGTGTAAAGAAAAAGATCTTTCAGTAGCAGCACCTAGTTTTCAACAATTCAACAGTGTTCATAAATCTGACAACTTATTATAAATCAGCACTCACTGACATATGTTTTATTCCCTAAAGGCTTTGATCGAGTCTAGTCCCACTTCTAGTCCCACCATGCTTCTGAACATGACTGGGAACTCCAGTTGAGCAGCAGACCATAAGCTCTACACAAAGATTCAGTTTTACTTCCTCTCATGAAAAGGCTCCAAGAGTAAGAAATGGATCTTTAAAATGAATGACATGACATTCGCTAGTTTATGTGTTTGCTTGTTTTTATTATTTTTTAATTTAAAAATTAAAATAAAATTATTTGTATGCTATTTACCAAAACCCATCAATCCCTGAAGTTTCTAATAGAAAGTTCCTAACTCTAAATTAAATGAATTTTACTTTTCACCGAAGGTGGTTTCCACCATATCATCATATCAATAAGACAAGAACATTTACATATAAATAGGCAATGAGGAAAACAATTTCATTCCAAAATGAATGATGGCTCATAATCAGCTTTTGTAAATTCCCTTCCCTTTGAGCCATATAACAGTTACAAAAACCAGTGAACACAGGTATGGCAGCAGCTCTCTGGCTATGGAGGGCAGCACACAGCTTTCCCAGCTTTCTGGGCTGCGAGAAGATCAGAGAAAAGAATGAGAAACAATTCTTATCTTCACTTGCTGCACCTTTTGTTGTGAACAAAATATAATACAGGTGATGTGGAATGTGTTATGGAGATTTGTTTACCAAAGGGTGGTTTCTTAATTAGCCAATGGTGATGGTGTTTAGATTGGAGGACCAATTAGGTCCAGGCTGATGTTACTAGTCAAATTAATGCAATTACATACTTCTACTTACCTAAGAGAAGCATATTCAGATTCCTGTCAACTCACTCAGTTTCAGAATCCAGTACTTGTCAATCTTTTCATTTCAGTGTCCAGAGAATCAATGGTGTCTTTCACCAGTGCCACTTTAGACATCTGTTCTAACTGTTCACTATCTAACTATAAATATAATCAAATACTAACAGCTAACGAACAAAAAAAAAGCTGATTTTTAGAATTTATTTCAATTTTCACTCTGTTTTTAGCACAAATCTTTTGCTGAAGAAGAAATGTCCAAGTATCTCATTTACTCAACTATCAGCTTACTGAAGATAGTTGGCAAACACCTGAAATGTGACTTTCACATCCTTTGAAGGTAAATCAACTTCCCATCTTCTAGACCTCTGGGAATATTTTCATTTATTCATATAAATTTCCCAAGAGAAATATGTTTGTCATTGATCAACATTAAAAGTTTCAGTGCACAATAAAATAGAAGAAAACATTATTATGAGTGTATGAAGGGAGAAATCATGGTTTGGGACACAACATGACCAATAATGGCTTTAGTCCTCTATTAAATACATGCCTATGCCAATAATCAGGTAGAGAAATCACTGTAAAACACTTGCATAAAGCACTATGTAACCAAGTTACCACCATGAGGCCTTCAGGTCTGTAGCTAAAACAAAGAACAGATTCAAAACCTCTTGCACAGACTGCAGCAAAGCTGGTTTGAAATCTTCAGTCTAAATAAACCTCTATCTTTTTATTAAAATACTTACACTTAACATTCAAAGGACTGTCCTTTCTAAATTACTTGAAATACATCTTTTAAAGTACAAAAATTCTCAGAAAAATACAAAATTCTCACCCCATGCCTCTCCTTCTTTACCAAATTTTTCAGTACTAATTTCTAATTTCTGTGTTACTATAATCAAAGGTCAGGCCTCTAAAGAGCAAGTCAGTAAGCCTCTGCTATACAACAGCTTCTTCAAGACTAGTGCCATAAATTTCATGTTGATGTATTGCCCTCAAAGGGTACCAAGAGAACAGAAGAAATAAGATGATGTACCTAAAACAGGGCTCCCAATACTCACTACACATCATATGTAGGCGTGTGATTAAAGTTAATTTACTACTCAGAGCTATTTCAGCCTACAGTGTATTCTTCATATCAGATGCACTCCATGTAATATTATAAACTGTGGTATTATATTTATAAGCTTGGTAGGAGCTTTAGAAGGCTGAGGCAGAAAAAGAAGATAATCCAGAATTTATAACCCTAAGATCTAGAAGAAAGATATACTGCAGAAAGCATGGTTAATTTATTTAAAAACCAAGTTCTACCAAGACTGTAAGTAAATTCAGGATTTATATTAATTATATTAATGTTTCCATTTTCAATTTCAGTGCCATTTGTTAGCAAACAATTGCACACACAAGTAACTTAAACCATATTGAATACAATTTGCCGGAAGAGTGCAATTACATTTAGCTTTGAAGCATGAGGTCTTACTAATACACAGTCATAAGATAATTCACATTTGGATGGACTCCAGGTCTGTAGTCTAAACCCTGCTCAAAGCAGAGCCAGCTCTGAGGTCAGGCTGCTCAGGGCTTTGTCCAGGCCAGTCTTGAAAATCTCCAAGGCTGGGGACTGCTCGACTGCCCTCATGAGAAACAAGTATTTCCTTGTATTCAGCCTGAACCCTTCTGGCTTCAGTGGATGCCCATTGTTCATCTTTCCACCAAGCACTGCAGTAAAAAGCCTGTTAATGACTTCTTGATGTCAAACCTACTGGTAGGTAGGATTATGTCCCTCTTAAGCCACTTCTACTCCAGGTGAAACATGCCTACCTCACCTGGATATAAGATCACTGTGGGTAACACTGTCAAATCTTGGTATAGTCTTAAAATCACAGGATCACAGAATGGTTTTAGTTGGAAGGGACTTTAAAGACCATCTTGTTCCACACTCCCTGCAAAGGACAGGGACACCTTCCATCACATCAGGTTGTTGAGTGCTCCATCCAGACTGGTATTGAACACTTCCAGGGATGGGGCATCCACAACTTCTCTGGGCAACCTGTTCCAGGGCCTCACCACCCTCTCAGCCTGTCTTTGTAGGAGAGGTGCTCCACCCCACTCTGATGATCTTCATGGCCTCCTCTGGACTTACTCCACAGGTCCATGTCATCATTATGTTGGAGAGCCCAGAGCTGGACACTGTTCTCCAGGTGGTGCCTTACCAGAGCAGAGTAGAAGGGAAAGAGTCTTGGTAAATAACATGCACTGCTCTCAGCCTGTTGTTTCCTGATAGCAGACTGGCTGGTGCTGCAGGATTAACCAGGAGCATCACCTGTATTATATTTTCAATTCCATAAATAATTACTTTCCCTTACATTGTGAACAGTCATTTAAAGCTCTTCAATTCTCTGTTCCAAATGAGCCTTTTCATTAAATGCAGCTTCTTGGGAAATCTGTATCAAATAACAGCAACAACAAAATCCCACATAAAACAAGTCTCAACTCACCACAGACTTGTAAAGCAATTAATTCTCAGGACCAGAAGAGAAATCCTTAGCAACTTTAATTACACTGCTAGGTAGTTTTAATGTTTAATTAACCTATGGGGTGGGGCTGAGGTGGGGTGGGACAGAAACAAACCTGTAACTGCTCCTTGTGGCCATCCTGTTGTGTAGGCATCCTTTGGCAATCTGACAGTGCTGTATTCCTTTCTATCTCCATGTGTCTTAATACAGCTTGAGCTATCACAGGAGTGATGCTTTTAGGAGGCCTGGGGAATTTTATAGCTTCCTGACAAAGCTGGGAAATCTACTCCTGTGCCTGTTTTTAAAAACAGTAGAATAACAGAAACATGGGATAGATAATCAATATATTACTGGGTCCTGTGGCTGGTAAAGTAGATCATCCCAGAAACTGTGTAATATCAAAGATGAAGTAATCATTTGTGCACATATTCTTTGATTCAGGAAAGCATTTTTACCTCAAGACAGCACTTAAAAACTTGTATTGAACTGACAGATTCAAATCACAGAATTTCCATAACTTTTTAAAAAATATTTTTAAACAAATACTTTGCATTCTTTATTTTCTTCTTTCATATGAAGCCAAAAATATATTTTTTTCTTCCACATTACCTTGTTATTTCAATTAATCACACAAATATAAATAAAATTACCTGTTCATGAAGACTGAGATTTTTTTCTCTCTCAGCTGTTAAAACTTTAAAGTTACCCTGAATTTCTGCCAGGACATTAATTTATTTTCCATGTTTACTCAAGTTCTTCACATTCTTTCAATATTTTCAAGACTTCTGGATCAGCAACCACTCCCTTAGAGAATATGGTGATATAGTGTTAAAGCAGAGAAACAAAACTTGAAACACTTTCTTATTATATTTGGTTAGAAAACTTCTGTGTTTGGCCCATTGCCATTTTATGCATCCTTCTGTTTACAATCAACTAGCTGTTCTTCCTGGTAGTTACAGCTTTAGTAGTTTAACATGAGATATATTCTAAAAAATATATTCCTCCTCTTCCAAAGTGACTTCCCAAGCTCACCTGGATGGATGATTTTTTTTTTTTTATGCTGCCACAAGTAGAGATTTACTTAGGACTTGAGAATGTGTTTCTTAATACCTTCAACAAATTCTCAGTCTCACATTTATGGCAGTCTCTGTCCTTTTCCAGTGACTAAATAAAGGCATCAAGCCTTGAAGGTGATCCCCTTGCTTTGTTTCATATTCTCTTTGTAATATAACCTGCATTAGCATAAATGAGAGAATGCATGCACTGAAATAAACTTTTGTAATTATTGATACTTCAATAAAATGGATAAACATACTCTTCAAAATGAAGATGAAGCAGATATCCAATTAAAATAAATATCCATATGATACTTTAAAGTAACTTCTGGATGGTATTTTTTTCTTTTTTGTTATATTGTAAAAATATGCCTGAATGTCCTTCTAATATGTATCTAACAAGAAAGAAAGGGACATAAAAACTAAATGTTAATTAACTTGAAATATCTCTGTTCAAAACTAAGGGTAGATTTGTACTGGAATATTTAATGAATTTTTAAATATGATAGAAAGTAGGCCACCATGTTTGTTTAAGGTCCACAAAAGGTGAAATTTTGCAATGGAAATAATGTGCAAGTAAGTATTGTTGAAATCCAGAAAGTCACATAAGAGCCTAAAACAGATTCTGAAGATAAACTGCAATTCTGAAATTCAAAATTGCACATCAAATCCCATTTGTTAAATAGTAAATTAATGTAATTTTGAGTCACTACAAAGAGTAATTTCTAGAAAGTGATTCTTACAATTGATTTTGGCATTCATACTAAAATTAATCATGTCCTAGGAGTACCTCTAATGAAAAAGACAGCCTCGATATCTGTTACAGTCATCATCACTGTTGACATATCATGTAGATAAGGTGAATCCCATCCAAACATACTGTTCTCTCTGAAAGAGGAACTCTCAAGTTCTGCAGTTATATGCATTTCCCTAATCCTAGGAAAGGGAACAGATCACAGCAATCAAGAATTGGCACCTTCAGTACCCCACTGAACATTGAAGACTCAAATTTACACACAGAATTTACACACAGTATTTGCTCACTCACAATACTTTTAGCAACTAGTGAAAGAGCACTTTTTGGAAAACATTATACTATTTATATGTCCTAAAATAAATACTTATACTACACTTACCATACAGTGGTAAGAAATTACTGCTGTGACACATTTCACCACTGATTTGGACAGAAATATGGAAGACCCAGGGAAATACAGGTCAGTAATTCTTGCCTCAGTACCTGTCAAGATCATGGAGCAGATCCCCCTGGAAACTATCTTATGGCATATGGGAAATAAGGAGATAATTAGGGGCAGTCAACATGATTTCACCATGGCAAATCATGCCTGACAAATCTGGTGGCCTTCTACAAGGGGGTTACAGCAGTGGTGTAAAGTGGTGAGGAAAAAGCAACTGCTATCATCGACCTGGGCTCGTGCAAGGCATTTGACACTGTCCTGCACAACGTCCTTGTCTCTAATCAGGAGAGACATGGACTTCACAGATGGACCATTCTGTGGATAAAGAATTAGATGGATGGTTGCACTCAAACTGGCCAATGACTCCACGTCCAGGTGGAGACCAGGGGTTGATACTGGGCTGGTGCTGTTTGACATCTGTCAGTGACATGGACACAAGTTGGGAGGAGAATGGATGGACAGCAGCCGTGGGGAGAAGGACTTCAGGGTGCTGGTGGACAAGAAGTTCAACATGGGCGGGCAATGTGGCCTTGCAGAGCAGAAGGCCAACCACATCCTGGGCTGCAGCAAAGAAGGCATGCCCAGCAGGGTGAAGGAGGTGATGATCCCTCTCTACTCTGCCCTCATGAGACCCCACCTGGAGTGCTGCATCCAGCTCCAGAGCCCCCAGTTCAAGAAAGACACTGATCTGTTGGAGTAAGTCCAGAGGAGGGCCACTAAGGTAATCAGAGGGCTGGAGCCCTCTCCCTTCTCCTATGAAGACAGGCTGAGAGAGCTGGGATTGTTCAGCTGGAGAAGAGAAGGCTCCAGGGAGACTCCAGTACCTAAACGGAGCTTACAAGAAGGCTGGCAAGGGACTTTTCATAAGGGACTTTTCATAAGGACTTTGAATCAAGCATGACATCTCTGCACTTTTCTTTACTCTTGCTTTCCAAGATGATCATAGTATCTGTTGTCCCTACAGGTGTATATGACTGAAATTCTATAGGCAAAACAAAATGAGAGTTAGAAATATTCCTAAAAATAGTTTTTAAAAAGATGGATTGTAAATATTATACAAAATTATCAGTAAACCCCTTTTCCCATTAATGCTGATATAAATATTTATGACCACTGCTTTCATAGAAATTTTAATTATTTCTCTACTTGGTTACATCTTGGAAGGTTTTTGAATAACTCTTATCTATGAAAATTCAACTTTCTCTATCAGGCTTATGATGTAGAGCATAGTTTCTCAATAAACATTACTAAAGTCAAGGAAAGGTGCTCATATTTATTTCTGATTTTAAGTACAAATGAATACCGAGTGACCAGTTGCTGCTACATCTTTTTGAAGAGCTTTTCTGCTGGGGGAGGGAGTTAAGCCAAGCTTCTCCTCAAGTGACACAACACTTTCTCCACACCTTGACTGATAAAAAGATTACTTCCTCAGAAAATAGTTAAATTCTTCATAGTTATTTGGGGATGTAAAGAGGACGATGGATCATAAATTGGCACACTCAGACACATGCAATACTTCCATCCACTGTTGTTTTGAGTGAAATTCTTTTAAAGAATTCCTTTAAAGCACCTTTAACCCAAACCTCCTGGGCCCACACATGGAGCATAGGCCTTGGCTGTGATTAATGCAAAAGCTTCAGCAAAAGGCAGGGAAAAGCAGTATGAGCAATGCTTACAGGTCACAAGATTTCAGAGACAAAGCCAAGCAGCCAAGTCAAGTCAATCCAGCCCCAGGAGAGAGATGGGTATCCTGAAACTGCCACAGCTGATCAGGCAGGAGTGACAGTGAACTCAGGGAGCTCTGCTGAACACCTCTACTCTAATTAGGTTCATCTCTTCCAGAAACTAACATCCAAGGAGACACTTTCACAGATGAAAACTCCAGCAATTGCCACACAATCTCTCAGGCCCGACAAGAACAAAGCAAGTGTTAGATAAGACTGACTTAATCTTGTGATAATAGCTTCCTTTAATTAAACCTTATCTTCTCTCCAAAACTCATCTAATTTATGTATCTATTTGTAAGACCATGTGCCAGTTGTATCATCCAGAATAAATATTATTCTTTGCACTATACTTGTTCCTTGACAGCGTCAAACATTAGCTTCACACATATGATAAACTCCAGCCTGAACTCACTCCTGATTTTTAATGCCAGGACTAACATATTACTGGTTTACAAACATCATGAAGTTAAAACATCAGAGTATTACGAGGCTAATTAAGCTTTACTTTATTGCACCAACAAAATCATTTCAGAGAAATTACATCTTATGTTTCCTTATATCCCAAGATAGGAGTTCTTATTTACAGTACCACTGGCTGCACATATCTTCTTCTTGGAACAGCACAGACAGGGACAAGCAGACTGGTGCCTTCCAAGAAAGTGATGCAAAAAGGGTAAGGAGGCCATGTGAACCCTGTGACTCCTATTGCCTGCTCACGGCAAGGATATGAACAGCCCTTGTAAGAGGCTGCTTTAGGTAGCCCCAAAGTCAAGCAGAGAAAATAGACAAAATGCCCTCTCTTCCCTGCTAGCCACTAGCACAGGTTTTATATTCTGGAGACAGTGCAGGGTCAGTAACGGGGTTTTTTGGCAAGCAGCCACTATTAAGCACTCATGGATACAGTTCACATTTTCAGACATCAGGAGTGAGTAACACCTCTGAAGTACAATCCCCACCTAAAGCCAGAAAAGAAATTGGAAGATTTTAATTTCCAGAAACAGAGCTAGGGAAACAAGCCTTATTCTTTTCCCTTTCCCCATCCTGGCTTTCTTGTAAATCTAACTTTCAGATTTTGGCATGGTGGAAGTGGAGATTCTGTATTATCATATTTATCTCCAAAAAATATATGAAAAGGGCATTTCATGTTTTCACAACTTTAACAAAATTATTCTTCATGAAAATTCATTTTAGGAGTGAAATGGTTTTGTTCTGATATGTCTAAGGTATCCTCTAAGGGACATATGGCGAGTTGTTTTTTATATCTTAATTCTGGTTAATGTTGTGCAGAGCAGTTGCACTGCTTTTTTAATATCAAACAATGCTTTGTTGATCAAAAAAATAAATCAATATATAGGGTTGTTTTCAAAAGTGAAAATAATATTTGGTGTATTTTACAGGTATGTGATTTATACAATGGTAGTTGACACATAAAAAATTTTAAACGTCCAATCCAGAAGAGATAAATAAATAATGGTGTGCATTTACAAATTCATACTTTTTGCTCATTGTCAGAATATTTCTAATTCTCTAGCTGGATTTATCTTCAACAATAGGAAGGCATTTATTGTTGCATGTGTTATTTCCTCCTTCAGCTTATCAGAAACAGACCCATGACATTTTTATCTGTCCACCTACTACTCTGCACACTTTATGTTTTTCAGCAAATAATGGTTCTAACTATGAAAACAGTTTTTGAGTAGAAAAACACTGCAACATCTCACAGTAGGTTTTTAGGGACACCCCGTGGCAAAATGACACACTGCAAACATTCAAGAATCAAGCGCCAAAATGGAGACAAGTGGTCCCACATTTTTTTGAGGTTTTAGTAACATCAGTTGTCTCACAAGATGCATTTCCATACTTCTGACCAGCGCTAGAATGCACAGGTTTGTGTTCGCATTTTGTCAACTGCCTTCAACATTGAATTCCAGCACATTTTTATGGGCAAAGTCCACATGCTTTTTACCTTTTTTTACCTGTGCATTATAGAATAGTTCACCGCAGTAAAAAATTGTTACCAGTCTAATTCAGCAAAAAGTTATGTCCATTTCAAACTGCCTAAAAAAACTCCTTTTATTTTTTTTAATGTGACAGTACAACATTAAAGGTGCTGGCACACACATCACATCAAGCTCCTTTTAGAGTCTGTTTCTCTCACTAATCACCACCAGCACACATGTTGTGATGGTTTCTTACTTGCCCTACTACACCCACACAGTTCTTTTACGGCAGAATGGAAGACAAAGGTGTGTAATGTACCTTTTAGAAATACACATCCAGGAACAAGAGAAATACAGCACGTATTTGCCCATAGGGATACTACTGTGGATAAAAAACTTCAGCTAGCACTGAACATTGTCCCACGGTGTAAGCTTAAGCACAGACAATAGCTTTTGATGGAGAATTATAGCTAAGGTCGGCTAGACTTTAAGAATGGCTTAAATGCAAATCTGAAGACAATCTGCTGCCGGCAATACATCTAGTCTTTGATCACTTTCCAGCTTGTTAATGAATTATGCTACTGACATTTAGCTTCTGTATCTTCATGAGCACCATAGAGAGTGTATTTCACAAGTCTCAGCATTTGCATGAACTCTGTCTCCTTGTGAACTCATAAAAGCTTCTAGCATCCAGAATATCCTGCAGAGAGGAACTGCACATCTGGGTCTCGCAAGAAAAATCATCCATTTTATGCATTGTGCACTGGCCCTATGTTGCCCTGTAAATATTGTGGGAAATGCTCAAAATTATCTGAAGCGAAGGTGTGAAGAGGATGAAGTCAGGCTCTTCTTGGAGGTGCCAAACAATAGGATGAGAAGCAACAGCCAGAAATTGAGGCACAGGAAATTCTTCCTGAACATGAGGAAGGCCTTTACCATGCAGGTGACCGAGCACTGGAACAGGTTGCCCAGAGAGGGCGTGGAGTCCCCCTCACTGGGGATATTCAAGAACCGCCTGGACACAATCCTGTGCCATGTGCTCTGGGATGACCATGCTTGAGCAGGAATGTCCCACTGTGGTCCCTTCCAACCCGACCGGCTCTATGTGACCTGGTCGTTCCCGCTCTCCCCAGCTCCATCCCCCGCCAGTGCCGTGGCTGCGCTGGGACAGGCGGGACCCGGCGCCCACCGAGCACCAGGCCGCGCTCAGCCCTCCCCGGCGCACGGCAGGCGCAGCGCCCGCCCCCAGCACCTCTCACCCGGGAAGCGGAAGGCGCTCCCGATGCCGCCGGTTCCAAGGAGTCCACGGGAGCACGGACGAGCGCTGGAATCGCTCCGCTCCCCGCCGTGAGTAGCGCGGGGCGCCCGGCGGGGCTGTGCGGGCGGAGACGCGGCGCCGGGGGCTGAGGGGACGCCGCGCCGGGAGCCCCATGGAAAAGAAGGCAGAAAACCCTGACAAAGCTGGACTGCGCAAAGTGAAACCCAGTTAGCAAGGCGGCGTTGAGTGAGGGGAAAGTACGCGTTCCGTTTCTTCCTTTGGTCTTTCAGGCACCAGGGAGTGCGAGGAGCAGCTGCTGTGACGCCCCCGATGTCCCGGGAGGCTCCCGCCGTGCCTGGGACCGGCCGTGCTGCTGCGGGAAGAGCATGACTGCATCACGCCCGCCACTGGCATTTCTGCTCTGTCACAGGAGCCGGCTGCGCTCCTGCCGCATTCAGCATTAGCAGAGCAGGCATTCCTTCCATCCGCTGTGCAGTTATTAAAAACATGGTGCTCCAGCCATTTAAAAACTGCCTTTGGCTGGCCTGTGTCCTCAGGACTCCAAAAGCTTGCTTCTGGAGCACAGCCGGTGGAGGCCTCATTATCCAGTCTGTTTCTAATGATGTTTACCAAAACCTAGCTGTGGAAGATTGGATCCATGACCACATGGATTTAGAGAAGCAACAGGTCCTTTTCCTTTGGAGAAATTCCCCTGCCGTGGTAATAGGCAGACATCAGAATCCCTGGCAGGAATGCAACCTCAGGCTGTTGAGGCAAAAAAATATAAAACTAGCCAGGAGAAGAAGTGGAGGAGGGACAGTTTACCACGACTTAGGTAATATCAATTTGACTTTCTTCACAACCAGAAAAAAATATGAACGAATGGAAAACCTGAAGCTCGTTGTGAAGGCACTGAAAGCCTTGCGACCCCAGTTGGATGTACATGTCACTGACAGATATGACATCTTGCTGGACAGGAAATACAAAATCTCAGGCACTGCTGCAAAGCTGGGAAGGACAAGTGCTTATCACCACTGTACCTTACTCTGTAATGCAGATAAGTTTGTTTTATCTTCTGTGCTAAAAAGTCCTTTTCAAGGGATAAAGAGCAATGCCACTCCTAGTGTGCCTGCCTTGGTGAAAAATCTCTTTGAAGAGGATCCTAGTTTAACTTCTGAGATGCTCCTGGATGCCATTGCTAAAGAATATGCTGTGCAACACCAGATAGATCACCATATCACCTTAATAAATCCAGCTGATGAGACTCTGCTTCCTGGAATTAGCGACAAAACTAAAGAACTACAAACCTGGGAATGGGTGTATGGAAAGACACCAAAGTTCAGCGTTAGCACATGTCTTAACATGGCCTATAAAGATTCTGTTCTTGACGTTAAAGTAAATATGGATGTAAAGCATGGAAGAATTGAAGTCTGTAACATTGATCTGCCAGAGCAGTGGCTGCCACCAGGACTGCACAGTGAACTGGTCAAGAGTCTTACAGGCAGTAAGTTTTGCCCAAATGAGACCACTACGCTTGTGACAACATTGCTAAGAGTGTGTCCACAAGACAATGAGTTGCACAGTAGGTGGAGTCTGCTGTGTGAGAATATGATAAGATTAATGTGACTTGCATTTTGAAAGTGTAAGTTAAACTTCTGCTGCTTTTTTATTTAATGTATTGAAAACAAAATTAAAACAATCACTAGTAAGAGAAAAATTCAGCTTGTAGAAAACAAACTGTTCAATCTTGTGCTTTTATTTAATGTTACAATTAAATTTCACACTGCCTGCACCTGATGTTCCCAAAATAGAGAATTGAAACCACTGCTGACAAGACATCATTCCTGCTTGAACAAGGGAAAATGCTGGGAATATCCCAAACTGGCTCTGTAGCAGAGAAGGTACAAATGGCTGACACAGATGGAATGGGGTAGGTGTAAAACTGGTGGTGTGCTGCTGCACTGGATGCCCCAGCCTGCATCCTTCTCCTTGTGGACAGTAGCCTAAAGGCTGTGTCACACCTCCTGAGCTGTGTGGAGAGGGATGTTCCCTGGTTTCTGATTCAGAGTCCCTTCTTGCAGAGTGCTGCTGCCCCTGTGCCTCTGCTGTAAGCTCAGCTCACTGCTGGGTGGTGAATCACTGTAGGTCCAGCCTGGGTTAGGGCTTTTGTCCATGCATGTGCAAGAGCAGAGGAAGATAGGAGTTCAGTGTGGGGGTTTATGTGATGAGGACAGAAGAGGCTAACTGGGAGGCCACATGTGCCTCCTCTGTTCTTGTGCCTGGCACAAAGCTGCGAGTCCCTCCTGCCATGGGTAATGGTATCAAAGCTAAACACTCGTAAATGCAAATACAGATCTAGGATAAAGAGGTTCCTTATGTTACCACCTAGCAGATTTTCCCCTAAAAGGCAACAATAAACTGTAAGTACCAGTTTTATTGTTAAATAATACCTGTATATATAGTAAAATTATGAAAGAAAGGTGTATTTCACTGTTGTTGAAGAAAAAGTGTAATGCAATTTTGATTAGGTCAGATACAAGCACTGCAGTGAGTTCAGCTCACTGTACTCAGTACCAGTTTTATTGTTAAATAATACCTGTATATATAGTAAAATTATGAAAGAAAGGTGTATTTCACTGTTGTTGAAGAAAAAGTGTAATGCAATTTTGATTAGGTCAGAACAGGTACCTGAAAGGAGGCTGTGGCCAGGTGAAGTTTGGGCTCTTCTCCCAGGTAACCAGTGACAGGGCAAGAGGACGGAGCCTCAAGCAGCACCAGGGAAAGTTTAGGCTGGGCATTAGGAAATAATTGTTCACAGAAAGAGTGATTGGGCATTGGAAAGGCTGCCCAGGGAGGTGGTGGAGTCACCTTCCCTGGAGATGTTTAAGAAGACTGGATGTGGCACTCAGTGCCATGCTCTAGTTGATGCTAAGTCATAGGTTGGACTCGATGATCTCAAAGGTCTTCTCCAGCCTAGTTAATTCTGTGATTCTCTATGTTTGAAACTGCTGGATTAGGTGAAAAGACACAAAACTTCACATTTGGGAAATCACTGTATTTACAGTGAGGCTCCTTCAAAACATGACTGGATCTCTGAGGCATTACACAGCTTCCGTGAATTTCCTGATGTTGTGAAGAAATCAAACAGATGACTGAAGCTACAAATAATAAAAAATAACCTTTATTCCCATTAAAAATAGGCATATATTATACACAACTGAATAAAATTCACAAGTGACTAGAAACTTTTTATCACAGCAGCAAACCAGGGAGCTCCTATGGAATGTTTGGGGGAATGACTAATAGCATACAGCTCTGTGGCTTATTCATTTTGCTGATGCAGCAGTGCAAAGCTGAAACATTATTATGAGAAAGGATAAAGAATGCACACCACTGGCAAATTGTGACCCAGAAAACAAGGCAAAGACCAGCTCCATTTCTTATTGATTGTTGTGGAACAGATTTTTTGTTAGAAATCTATTTAGATTTAGAAATAAGAGGAAAAGAATAGCAGCATTCATTAGATGGCAGAAGATGAAAATAAAGTACATTAAGGGAAAAAAAAAAGATAATGGAATACAACAACCATCAGGAAAAATAAATATAGGAAATAAAAAAAGTTCTCACAATAAACATGATACTAGAACACAGAGGCCTATTGTGTTACAAGGCAGAAAGTGTAAGGCACGTGTCAGTCCTGAGGCTGAAAAGTTTTTCATGGGACCTGAAAAAGAGGCCACTGCCTGTTTTTTATGTCAGACTGTATGACTTAGGCAGATCCTTGCTAACAGAACTCTTGTATAAGACTAAAAAAAAAATTTAAAAAGCAGTACCTCTGGTAATACCTTCTGGTTTCCAAAGGCTGCAGGAATGACAAGGGAAGACTTTTGTCTTTATTCTAAATAGCATATTGCTTAGAATTGCAGAATATTTTGAGTTGCAAGGACCCACAAGAATCAAGTCCAGCTCTTAAGTGAATGGCCCTTACAGGGATAAAACACATAACCTTGGCATCACTCACACCATGCTCTGACCAACTGAGATACTCAGGGCACCCAACTTCTGACAAAACTTACATTTATTCATTTTAGGGGACTACCTTAGTAGTAGCAAAATACTGAAGTTGAGAGTGGCATGAAAAGCCAGTCTTTGGGCTTGAAAGGCAGAGAGTAGGACTGGGAGAGGATCATACATCCTTTCCACACTTAATGCAAAGGATGGATGTGGTCATGTATCATGGAATAAAAGAACACACAGGAGTGCCAAGGAAGATTGCAGCTGTTTGCAAATAAAACAACCCTAAAATGACTGTGTACTGAACACTACCACATTCCTAGGCAAAGAGTTTGGAAAATGGAATGTGAAAATTGGGATTACTAGTAAAGTCTGGGAAATAAAGTATTACAGGAATGACAAAAACCCAGCAAAATAGTAGTCATGACTACAATACAGGAATTAAAGGAAATAAATAAGACTGCTTATAAAAGAGGACATGTGTCAGCCCAGCTTCCAATGATTTTGAGGTGATCAGTTAAAGACAAAAAATCCAAAACAGGCTCAAGATGAAATCAGCAATAAAAATACAAATGGCAGTAAAGAGGCTTTTGAAAGACACTACTGAGGGTCTGTTACAAAATCAAGATAAAATTTAGACATGGATTGTAAGATCCATGTCTGAAGATTACAGAAGAAGTCCAATGAAGGAATCATGCAGTTTTGTTTTCTCAGACTGGAAAACAAACATTCTAAAACACACAGATTATAAAAGCTGTGCTGCACTAAATACTTAGAAGAGTTGCTTCTGTGGGCAACCAGCTGGACTCAAGCAACATCTTTCAGTCTTACATTTTTATGCTTATGAAAACACTTATTAAAAGCAGACATTTCTGATCACATTTTCTTTGTGTGCTTAGCATGAAAGACATCCACTGTTGTTTCACGACAAGGTCTCAAGTCAAAGTCACAGTATCCAATGCTGAAACAACCCTGCAGAAATGAACAAAACTGACATGGTGAGCATATCCTGTAGAAGAGCTCATTTTAACTTTATTAAAGAAGTCAAAGCATCCTTACCCGTGGCTTCTTAAAATAATCAAGACCCCTTCCAATCTTAATTATCCAGCCATTGTCGAATCTGTTTTAAAAATGCACAATAAAAAGGTTACATCCACATGATGCACAAACTCCTTGTTTCAATCACAGTTATTTCCTAGCATCACCAATACCTGTGTGAACCACAGAAGACACCATTCTGTATAGAGACAACTAATATTATATTCACAATTAGAAAATATAGACCTAGAGAAAGCTGATTTCATCCAGTGAGGGCCAGTGCCTTTTACTTTGTTAACCACAGCTGTAATTATCTCAAAAGTTAGGGTTAAATAGTTCTGAGTTCAAATAACTGCTGTTTGGTAATTTTTCATATCACCCACCTGATTTCTCGATCATGTATTGAAGACGAGAAGTCAATACTCAGTGTTACTCCATAATTACTCAATGACTGTTTTATTTCTTCCAAGGCAGTCATCTGCTGGCTCCTCCCACCACCCTATCGAAAGTAAAAGTAATCTCATGGGGTTTCATTTTCTTTTTTTGACTATATATTCTATTTCTGGTCACCACTTCTTAAACTCACACACCTTTAAACTCAAAATCTTTTCAGTATCAAAGCAAACCGAAAGAAAGTAACTTGGATGAAGGCAAATTTACAGTTTCAAGGACAGGATAAAAAGCATACAGAATACAGGTATATTTGCTGAGGGATGTGGAGGAGGAGCTCACTCTCAGCCCTTTAAAACTAGATAGGTACTATTTGAGCCAAAATAAGTGCAGTAATAATTTAATAAGCACAGTGGTAGTTTGGGAAATTTCAGCTCATGAAAGCCTCTAAAATGACAAATACAGCTGCTGGAAGAGCAAAAAACCCCTTGTCTCAACAGATGCTTGGTTTTTATGACATTTTCCACAACAAAACTTTCAGAGAAATTTCAATTTAAGATTCTGCTTACTCAAATTTGTTAACCAGAAAAATCTAAACTTACAAAATTACTTATGTTCAACTACCTAGGAACAAGTCTGTATTTTTATATTTTGTTTTGCATGTGGCATCATCTGAGTACAGGGAAAGAGAACTCAAAATCTAGATCCTTACCTCATCATAGGAAGTGAGGAGGTGGATTGTTTTCACCTTGCACGGCCCCTTAACTAGCATCTCGCAGAATCGTAGGAAGTTATACAACTGAAAAAGTTTTATTTACTTTAGTAGCTTGGAATTTCTCTAGTGGCTACATCTGTAGCAGTTACAGCAAATATCTACTTGCCTGATGAACCTGCCGAATGTAGGGGTCCTGCACCCAAACTTCAGAAACACTCTCAGTGAGGTACTCGTGGAAAAGCTTTTCATAACCAAAACCTGTTGCATTTTCCTCTATCCTGATTTGCTTATGGTATTTGCCATCTGAAAGGAAAGTTAATCTCTGTTTAAGTAAAGGTCAGGACATAATTTTCATGTTAAACCACCTCATCCATCAAACATTTATGTAACAACAGACATTTTAAAGTAAACGGGTACGTCGGGTACATCCCAGCTCATGGAATCACAGAGTGGGTCAGGCTGGAAGGGACCACAGTGGGACATCTGATCCAACCCCCTGCTCAAGCAGCGTCATCCCAGAGCACATGGACAGGGTTGTGTCCAGACAGTGCTTGAGTATCTCCAGAGAGAGAGATTCCAGAGCCTTTCAGGAAAATCTGTTCCAGTGCTCGGTGACCCCACGGTGAAGAAGTTCTTCCTCATGAACTTCCTGTGATCAGTCTCTGCTCCTCGCCTCGTGTCCTGGCGATTGGCACCACCGGGCAGGGCCTGACTCCCTCCCCCCGGTACCCCCATTTAGCTGCTTATACCTTGTCTCTTAATGTGTTCTTTAATGTCCTCGGCTCTGGTCATGTACTCGGATATCTTCTGCCGGTAGCGGAGCTTTTTGGCCTCATCGGTGGTGGCTGTGAATCACAGAAAGTCACGGAACACAGCACAGGGCCGGCCCTCCCCGCCCTGCCCGGCCCGGCCCGGCTCTCCCGGGAGGAGACCTCCGGCTCCCCCTCCCTGCCTCCCTGCCTCCCCGGGCTCCAGCACTGCTCGCGTGTCCCCGGGGCCACACCGAGCCCGGCGGCCGTGCCCAGCCCGGTACCTTTCACCACCTGCAGCAGGAGGTCGATGCCCTCCTGGTAACACACCAGCGACTCCTGGAACCGGGACGCCACGTCCAGCTGCACCGCCCGCTTCATCGCCTCCGCCCCGGCCCGCTCCAGCGCGGCGATGCCATCGTTCCCCGCCCGCGACATGGACAGGGACGGGGACGGGGACACGAACCGGGAAGGCGACGGGAGCGGGACGGGGCGGGGAGCGGAGGAGAGGTGTCGCACCGTTGTCCTTCCGCCCGCCCGGAACTGAAGTGCTGCGGCACCGCTGTCCGCCCGGGACGAAGGGCGCACACGGAGATGGCGATGGCGGCGGGCCGGGCGGGCCTGGGGCTTGCGGGCCCCGGGAAGGTGGGGATTGGGATTGGGGGTGTTGGGCAACCCAGGGGGAACCGGGGAACGGGAACCTAGCTGGGGATCTGGGCTGCGGCTGAGACTTGCAGCCTCCGGGAGAATGGGGGTGCGGCTGGGGCTGGGACTCGCACCTGTGTCGTGTGTTCGCAGGTGGTTCCTCGCTGTAAGGAAAGTGCACACAAGTTATGCCCTCCTCTCCCTGCAGGTGCTGGGGAAGAGGATGGAGGGGATGGCGTCCCCGCTGTGGGTTCGTTGTCTCTTTACCAGGTCGAATATTCCAGACTCGGTATGTGCTTGACTTGCACTTTACATGTTTTACATTCATCGTTTTAGTTTATTTTTGCGAGATACCATCTGGTGTCAGTTGACTCTTTCCCCTAAAAGCATTCCTAAAGCCTGTGGAAAAACGTGCCGTCCAGAGGCTGAGCCCAGGCTCCCTGATGAAATGCACGTGAATTAGGTGTTGTGCTGGTACAGGGTGTTGTCTGTGTATTTCTGTGCCATTCTGTGGCTAAACTCAAGAGTTACTACACTTATCAGCAAACCACTATAGAAATATGTTTGACTTCATGTTGTAAAAGCTCAGTTTGAGGTCATTTGGTTGGTGCTTTGACTGCCTGAAAAGAAAAATATGTAAGAATTTTTAGCAAGGTTGAAGTATGTTTTGGGCAGTAGTTAACTGCAGCACTGATGACCAAATATTTAGGGAAAAAACCTGGTTTTGTGAACTTTTTATTCTAGGTATTTCAGCCACAGCCTGGAGATCATGAAAAGTATGGAGGGAACCCTGAGGAGCCCCACAAAATCCACGTTATTACTAGAATAAAAAGTGTCATTGGTCGCCCCTATTGGGAGAAGAAGATAATACGTGACCTGGGACTGGATAAAGTATGGTTGTTGTTTTTTTTATACTTGTGTTTGTCAGAAATGTAGCGCCAAGTTGGGTTTTATAAAGATCTCCATTTTGCAGTCACAAACCAGAATTACATTTATATCAGCCATAAAGCAATCTGAGAAGGTGATGATGATGTGCTCAGGAGCTGAGGGGAATGTTTGTGGCAAATGGGAATAGTGGGAATTCAGAGAATCTCTGTATGGTATTGTGTTGCATTGCCTGAGGAGAACTTTACCTTGAGAATTCTTCTAAAATAATAGAAATAAGTTTGTAAATACTTTGGATTCAGGTCTCTGTGGGTCATATTATTCAGAAATTGTAGCAAGGCAAATAAAACTCATCAGTGAAAAACTTCCAAATTCAAGACTTTAAAAGTTTGTGTCAAAGATATGTTTTTCTGAGTTTTTTTTACACATTATGCAAAGATTTGTCTAGTCAGTGTTATATTACAGAGAAAAAATGTGTGCTTGATCAATTTAAGATACAACCGAAGAAAGCAGTTTTGCCCCTAGACTCTTGTACTTTCATTTACAATATTTTTAACAGTTGGAAGAAAAATGCATTTACAGTGAAGTAGGAATAAAGCTGAAATTGTCTTTTTACTGGAATCCAGTTGTGATTGCATATTTTTATGTCTGTTCTTGATGCATGGCACTTCTCTAAATCTTACATTTGCAAATGTGGTTTATTTTCGTACTGGTAGCGTGCAAAGTTTAGAGAACAAAGATTTGGGATTTGGCAACACATTTGTAAAACTTGTTTTATCCCTTATGTAGGCACATCAGCCAAGACTGCACAAAAATATCCCTTCTGTGAATTCCAGACTGAAAGTTGTTAAACATCTGATAAGGTTTGTTAACTATTTGTTTATTTATTTGTTTATTTGGAACATTTAGTGTAACTCCCTTCTAGTCACAGGATTTCACTAAGCAAACTCTTTTGCCTGTAGAATCCAGCCACTGAAACTGCCCCACGGGCTGCCAACAGAAGAGGAAGTGTCCAGCACTGTTCTGACAACCAGGGGAGAGCTTATCATTAAAAAGCGCCTGAAACCTGTGGAGCAGAAAGAAATTAAGGCATAAGGTGTGCTGGTTGGATTTAGATTTTATAAAATAAATACTTTAAATCCCCAGTTGAGAGTTGGTGTATGAAAAGTAAAAATTCTTACTCTGGTATGAATGGCAAAGGTGATACTGATGCTTAAAGCAGGTGTACAGATACAGAATTGAATGTTGTTAATAGTTATCTGAAATATTAAATTACTTGTACGCTCTCTGTCTTTGTGCTTTAATTTTGTGGCTAGATTGCTGAAGTTTTTGGCTAACTGTAAGTTCTCCTACAGTTTGACTTTATTGGTAAAGTCAAGCAGAGAAGTGAGTAGAATAGTTCTAGCTAATGATGGTGGGGACATGTCACAGATAGCAGTAAAGATTTACAGCAATACTGCAGGACTTTGTCTGCACAGAGGAAGGAATTGGAATTGAAAAGCCCTCAGTTTAGTTGTCCCATGAGAATTGACTGGCTGTCCACAGAGGGTGATTACCATGGTTATCCAGATCTCACACTTCTTCCCTAGCAAACAGTCTGTCCTCTGACTTGTGTGCCATGAGAATTGACTGCCTGTCCAGAGGGTGATTACCATGGCTATCCAGATCTCACACTTCTTCCCTAGCAAACAGTCTGTCCTCTGACTTGTGTAGCTTACAAAGCATGTAAATCTCCATTTGGGAGTCACAGGAGTACTCACCTCTTGATTGGTTGTCTAATTTGTCTTTCAGGAAACCTGCTGTGTCTTCTGTAGCTTACAAAGCATGTGAACTCTCCATTTGGGAGTTATTCACCTCTTGATTGGTTGTCTAATTTGTCTTTCAGGAAACCTGCTGTGTTCATATGTATCCCTTGATCCTAAGTATTCAGTAAGAACAGCTTAAGAGCTGCAGTTTATGTGAAAGTTAATGCTTTTCCTTCTCTAAAATGGCAGATGTTAGAAATGTGGAGGCCCTGAAGCAAACCTCTGATGTGAGTTAGAATTATAGGCTGCAAGCTTATAAAATACTATTGTGTGTGTAATTTTATTTACAGTCTTAAGAACTGTGGCCAAAGTTAGCAAGCTGCTGCTGTATCAAATGATAAAGTAGTTTGCACTCCAGTCAGGATAAATTCTGTAATTTAACACGCTGTGAGCTACTCCCACAGCAGACACAGTGAAGAGGAGTTAATCTTAATGACTGCATGTTGTGAGAACATCAGAGTGATGCAGTCCCTGAGAATTAGTGTTTATCCTTTCTGCCTGCTTGCAGAGAAGAGTAAACACCTGTAGGAGTTCAAAGGAAGAGATTTATCAGGACAGGGACATAAGAGCTGGAGCACCGTGCAGAGGGAAAAGGACAGGCTGTGGTAGTGGCACTGAGGAGTGTGATGACCCCTATGGGCAGGCTGAAGGCAGAAATTTGAGCTGAAATAAAATAGCATGGGAAAAGTGATGAATTAATCACTTTTTAGATTAATAATTTTTCAGATAAATAAATGTTGCTTTTCTCACCTCCCTCCTTTCTTCCAGCATCTGCACAGCATCTTGTGTTGCAGTGTGTTATAACTGCAGTCTCTGCAAGGTGTTGGTCATATTCCCACAGGGAGGTACAAGCTGGAATTTGAGCCCTTTTAAAGGACATGTATAGTGCATCCAAGGCACAGGGCATTTTTAAAAGAGATGGTACAAGTACTAGGACACAAAAAATGAGGCGAATGGATCTTGCTGCTGGTGGATAGCAAATAATAAGACTTGTGGCTGGATGGGTGTCCCAGAGCACCAGGGCCAGGCTGGCTCAGCCTTGCCCGGGATGTTTGGGATTCACATCGGTGGCACTGCAGCCCGGGGAGCTTCCAGCAGAGGGCTCTGCCAGCTCCATCCCACACTCTCAGTATGGATCTCTGGCACTGCAGCCTACAGAAGTGCTGCAGGGTATCCCGGAGGGCCTGTGTTAATGAAAAGGTTTGGTACCGTTCACAGTTAAAGAAGTGTCTGATAAACTATCAACACTGCAGGCTCCCACACAGAGAGAAGGGGAAATACATAGTACCTGTTATTTCTAAGTAAGATGCAGCTGCAAGAGATGTTTGATTGACAAGCTGATAGTTCCAATGAAAAAGAGAATTGTTTTGTTTTTTTTTAACTTTTTAATATATGTGGTTGTTTGGGTGTTGCTGTAATGGTATTTCCCCCAAGGGCCCCCACTCTCACACAGTCTGCTATCCCAAACCTTCTCTGTATGAGCATACATTCTCTCAAGATTTGCTCTCAAACCCTAAAATCTGAACCAGCAGTGTGCACAAACACAGTGTGTGTCCACACCCTTTCAGTAATGGAGCTTTGTAATGCTCCATGTAGATCTTTGTGAAGCACAGGTAAGAGACATTGCCTTTTTGTGTAGGGAGCAAACAGACTGATGCTGCAAAATTCAGATTGGAAAGTACATTTCTGGTCTCCAGTCCAACCTTCTGCTCAACACAGGCCCAGTACTGAGGCCAGATGAGGTTGCTCAGTGGGTCTTGAAAGCCTCTGACAGGGACAACTCAGCCTCTCTCCACAGCTGGCACTGCAGTTTTGTACAGCTGTTAGATGTGTATTGACAGATAAAACATAAAGTGGGTAAAATCTTATTAAGGAGTGTTACAACTTCCTTGCAGCATTAATCTGCTGCTTGAGAAACTGCAGGCACAGATGAAATCTCTGGATATTCTCATGATGTGAGATGAAAATTAAAAGCAAAAGGTTAGTTACATTTTGGACTATTAGCTGTGTTTTAAGTTATTTTTTTAGCCTTAGCTGGAAAAAACCCTATTGTAAGTTTGTTCTTGTTCCTGGCTTCATTGTCCTGCCCCAATCTTATTGTTTCTGGAGGAAAAATTCAGAATGTTTTTAGTTAGAAGCAAAGTATGCAATCAGGGCCTCAAGTCTAATCATTATTCAGAGATCTCAATATCCATTTTTCTTATAAAACCTGGCTCTCGCATCCACATTATTGGCATAGTTGTGTGTTTTGCCAGTATCCATTTTGTCCTAAGTCTGGATGGTGTTCACTCCTGCATTATAGGCTGAGATCCCACCTGGAAAGAGGTGAAAGAAACATGTAAACAGAGGTGCTACTTCATCTGTAAATGATACTGCAGCTTTGCCAGGATAGGTAACCAGGAAAGGTTACTTTTTGTAGGTGGGTATAGAACCACAAAACAAATGGAATGGAGAGGAAGGGGAGTGCCCACCCTTACTCCTTGCAACTGGAAATGTCATGGTATTTGCCAGGTTTCAAAAGAATCCTGCTGGAAGACTAATCTTATTCCTCTATTCCTTTTAGTGCATACTAAGGAATATTATTCCACATGAGCATAGGGACTGGGATGTCTTTGGCTTTCTGCAGTGCTTACAGCATTATCATGCTTGAGTTTTTATATGTGAAGTGTTTCAAAGCTGACAAAACTCAACCTCTGAGTCCAAGATGGAGATTTTTTTCTGGATTTATCATAATGTGTAAAATCTCAGTGTTTTATGTTAAGTGCTTTTCAGTGTCCCATGGCTCACCAATTCAGTACTGTTTGCCAGCCTGAAAGTGAGACAGCAACATCACCACACCACATACCCCACTACTTATCCAGAGCTCTTTGTTGCCTACAGGCTGCTTGTGTTCATTTTGATCCTTAATCTCAGGATTTACCTCTTTTGTGACTGTATGGAGAGGACACAAGCACTTCTCATGGCACAGGCAAAGCCAGCCAGTGTCTGAAGGGCAGACATTTGGACACAGAAGAGGAATGCCAGGCCTACTTCCTTGTTTGTCAGAGCCTTAAAAAACAGCCCAGCTGCTGTTGTAAAGGTGACAGTATGCAGAAAGCAGGATTGCTGCTGCTTCACAGGGTTACCAGGTGCAAGGTGACTGCCCCTCTCCTCCCCAGCTGAATCAAGGCTGGGAAAATCCATTTCCTATAGGGATCTCTCCTTAATCCTTTACTTGTAGTAAAGCACAAGTCTGAGGGGGCTGGAGCTGTTACAAAAGCAGATCCCATGCAAGCAGCAAATGTTTAGGATTTTACAGATAAGGCTACAACTTGGCAAACAAGCTAGGCACAAATGTAGGCATGAATAATGAAGCAAGATCCCCCACAACCCAGGCCGCTGTGGTGCATAAAGTGTAATTAACCTGATGATAGTAGCTGCAGCCCACAGCATGCTCAGTTTTAAAAGGTGCTTTTTGAAACAAGACTTCTTATCTGAATGTGAAATAAGAACAATTAATCTCTTCAATCCCACGGGAGTGCTGGAAAACAATCATGAGTTTCACAGTGTAAAAGCAGTCTGCTCATGCGCTGATGCTCACCCAGGTCCTTCCCTGGTGCTGGGAGCTGACAGCCTGGTCAGCATTGGCTTTAGCCTTGTCAGCATCAGCTTTAGCCTGGCCAAAGATTTAGTTGAAAAGGTTTATTTGGTTGCCTTTGGAAAAGGTTCCTGCCACTTTTCTAACTCTGCTTCAAAGGAAGGATGAAATTTATGATTTTAAGAAGGTTGCCCATACCTGCATTGAGCCAAATGCATTCTCATGGTCACCCAGGCCCTCCTTCACTTCTGTCCCTGCCCTTGAAAGATAATACCAGCAATCAATCACAGCTGCAGCAAGACCCTCACCATTGCCACCTTTTGCCATCTTGGCCTGGTATTTCTCCATGTTCTTCTGCTGTCTTCTCTGGGGCAGGGACTTCTACAGCATGACGTGCATGACTTTGCCTTTCATTTTAGAATCCAAACCCTGTTTTTCTAAAGGTCATTATGGCTGAACTGACATTTTGAATCCTTTTGAATCTGTTTAGAGTGAAACAAAGATAGAATTGACTAATTTTACTGAAGGGTACCTTAGAAATCAATACACAGATTATATAAAATACTTTGTTCTTCAGATTCAAAGGGTATTGTCTGGCATGCAGATTGAAAGTGAGGTGAGTCTTGTTTTAAATTTAAGCCTTTGTGTGGATTAGTCCCAGATTTAGTCCCTTTTAATTTAGGACTATAGTAGAGAAATGTTCAGAAGTTCAGGTTTTCAGGGAAATTCTCAGTGGAGAGAGAAAAGTAGGTTCAGAGGTTGGATGCATCAGCAGACTTTCATTTTTTCTGTGATGGTCTTAAATGTTCCCTTAAAGTCAACCCTATTCCCAACATAAACTTACGTGCCTAAGTAGGATCTTTGTTGGTTGTGAAAATATCTGCTTGCTTGGGAACAACTGAGAGTCAGCGACCAGGATCCATAACAGGCATGAGCTTGTGGATGGCTGCAGGGGGGGAATGAACAGCTGAATTAGTGCCTACCTGCCCAGCTCAGACCGTCTGGTTTCACAGCTGCCCCCAAAGCTCCAGTTGTGTCAACATTCAGTGTATTCCCACAACGCCCTGAACAGCCTGAGAACACGTGCTGGTTCAGCTGAAGCCAGCACAGAGCAGTCTTTACAACCAGATGTCAGGCCACTGCAATGTGTGACTCATGCTTTTAAAACGCTTTCAGATCCCTGACTGAAACCCATGGCATCCTTTTGATTCTAGTGCAGGTGTTTGTGCTAGCAGGTGCAGCCATGGCCTGCTCTGGAGGGGATTACCTCTTAGTCATGCTAGCTCATGAACCTTGTGAACTGGTGCTTTGTGCCCAGTTCATCTCCCCTAATTACCTAAAACTTAGCTGTCTTAGTCTAAGCTTGTGACTTGGGCTGCCTGCATGGCCAGTGGAAGAAGGCATCTCAAAAAGAGGCATCTCAAAATCTCTTTTCTATTCCAAAATTGTTTTAAAAGTAAAGAAAATAAGATGAGAGTCAATTGAAATAATACACTATTTATTGGCTCCAGCTTGCTTTTCCATAGCTCCAAGAAAATCAAACAGAAACATCCTTCAATTACACCCATTACGATTTATCTGACTTGCAGATTGTTTGACTTGCAATTTATCTGCATTTATCTGTTGTCTTAACACACCATTGCAGGAGGGAAAACACACAAACATCAGCTGAGAGGAACAATTCACCTAATGGAATACAAACTTTGGTACAGTGAATCATTTACAAGAATATTAGACAAAGACCACAGACCTGACATGTTTGCTGTAGGATGTCTCCCCATATTCTCAATGCACTTCCTGGAGACAAATGGGCTTTGTGTCTGCTGGCAGTGTTCTGGAACAGCTGGCTCAGTGCCCTTCCCACCCCCGCTGGTCTTACAAGAAACAGAAACACCTAACAACTTGTGCATCCTCCCAGACACAACAGGGATTCTGTTCTTCAGCAAAAACACAATTAGAATTTAAAAAAAAAGAAATAGCTTTTAATTTAATTTTAAGTCCCATTGCTAGGAACTGTGGAGGAGCCTTGTCTGAAAACGGCTGCTCCCCCTCAGTTCTTGGAAGCAGTAACATGCTGACAATGGGAAAATGCGCTTCTGGATTTAATGACATTTTTGCAGGCAAAGATCCAGGAACAACAACATGACCAGAGCTGCAACTGCTCAGCACTCGGATATGCAGAGGCTACGCCAGGCCCCTGTTGTTATCCCCTCTTGCAGAGGAACAACAAAGGTCAACAACCCCAAATTAGCAGGCGGTGCGGATTTCAAAGCTACTGCAGCAGTGAGGAAAGCAGCCACTGGATGGCAGAACTCCCGCGGCACAACCTGTCCTGGCCCCCCTCTCCCCCGCGGAAGATTTTTGGGTGTGAAATGCCGTTTTGCTCTTTCAGCAGCTCTTTTACATTTTTATCGGGGGAATTCGTCCCGTGTCATTGCACTGAGAGATTCTGTAAGTTTTTTGCTGTACTGTTGATACTTTCCATAAAGAACCAGCTGCAAAAAGTCACAGCAGCTCATGCATGGAGCTCTTCATGTTCGCAATTATGACTGAGTGTAAAGAAGGTTGAAACAGGAGAGGAGAAGACAGGAAGGAGAATAGAACAGATGTGGCTCAAAACAAGTGACATTTTAAAAATTTAAAAAACTCCAAAAGTGATTCACAAGCAAGTAATCTCCAAATGGTCTGTGCTACCTTTATTTCTGGGGCAGAAACATAAAGGATGCACTAGTTTGCTTCTGCTAATCACAGTACTTGAGACACTCCTACCATAAATAACTTTATTCCCTGCACATATTCTCTATAAAAACCTCCTTTGCCACACCTGGACAGTTTCATCTGAATTCCCTGGAACTTTATTTATATTCAGCTAGCTCTTCAGGCTCCAGCTAGAGCAACCTGACAGCTCTGCTACTGAAATATTTTGTGCATGTGGTAAATGTAGGACATCCACCTGTAGTACATATAACAAGAGCCACAGTAATCTGTTCAGTATCAGTATCCATGATTGATTAACAACCAGCTCTTTATTGATCACAAGAGTTGCAGGGGAGGGACAATTTGGTTTACCCAGAAGCCAGGCTGCAGGGCACTGGACCAGATCTAGTACCAGCTACTCTTCACTCTTCTTTCATGTGTCTGGCAGGAAGGAAGAATTGCCTCTGGCAATTAAATGGTTCAGGGCAAACATCTGTGGGCTAATCTGGTCCTGTATTATGGCATTTATGGCTTAGGCATGCAGCTGTGCCTTTTTAGAGTTTGTCTTAATTTCTAGAGGAAAGGTACAAAAATATGCTGCCAGGATTTTTATTATTATGACAGGAATCTATAAACCTGGTTTCTGTAACTATGAACACATCCAACACATCCTTTTAAAACTTTGTGAGTTTCTTGATCTGGATCAGGGGTGGCTGAATAAGCAGGGAATTAATAAAATAAAACCTGATTTAAAGGACAAAAATGAGTCAAATTTCTCCTTGCCTGTTTTGGAACAAGAAACCTTTCCAGTTCTTGGAAACTGAGTGTTTGTGGAAGACTGAGGGCTGCAGCAGTAGAGTCTCAGGTCAGCCACATCCTCCCCGCGTGGGGTTTTCATGCTTTGGAACATTTCTTCTAATTGCTAATTAGCTTAATAAGAGGTGGGTAAGAAATGAGTGATCCTAGTTATGCTTTCAGGGGAGAGACTAGGCTGACACAAGCTTCCCAAGGCAATCAAGCCCATTTAAGCTGTGGGAGGTTACCCAGCCCCTGTTGGGAAGGCACGGTGCTCTGGATGCTGGGGGAAAGTCTCTGTCCCAAGGCTGCAAGATGGCCTCATGGGGAAATGCAGGGATTTGTAGATGGGTGAGACGTGAGGAACTGGCAGAACATGGATGAGAGGTGCAGCATAGAAGGGACAGGCTGCACCTGAGCTGTAGCATAGACAGCCAGTGTCACTGGAAACTGAAGAGCTTAAAGAGGAACATTTCCACTAGAAGCTGGGGAAAGCTGACAAATACAGAGGAGTATCTCGCTTGAACTCATGTGATCTGCTAGGTGGACAGATTTAGTTTGTTCAGTTTACCTCTGAAAAAAACATGAGGGAAATAAACAGCACGATCACAGTACGTGAGAAAGACAAAGTAAAATGCAGTGGCAAGGATTTGGCCCATGCAGTGTTAACCAACAAGGCAAAGACAAACTTGCAAGTGTTTTTGTATGGTTGCTAGAGACTTCAAAATCAAGCCAGAACCCAAATGCCTGGACCAAATGACAGCCCTCACAGGGAAGGTGTCTCAGAGACTTGGAGGAGGCTAGAAAACCAGTGAGCACTGCCAGCCTCACAGGAACCACTGAGGAGGATGTGGAGGTGTGATGCTGTATGTGGAGCGATGCTGTATGTGAAGAATAAAAGTGTTACAGCATAAAAATATTACAGAAAAAGAAAAGCACCCTAAAAACCTGTGGGTGGAAATCCCAGTTGCTACTGATAAAAATGCTGTATGCTTGAACTCATGTGATCTGCTAAGTGGACAAGGCTGATGTTCAGTTTACCTCTGAAAAAAACATGAGGGAAATAAACAGCACGATCACAGTACATGAGAAAGACAAAGTAGAATGCAGTGGCAAGGATTTGGCACATGCAGTGTTAACCAACAAAGCAAAGACAAACTTGCAAGTGTTTTTGTATGGTTGCTAGAGACTTCAAAATCAAGCCAGAACCCAAATGCCTGGACCAAATGACAGCCCTCACAGGGAAGGTGTCTCAGAGACTTGGAGGAGGCTAGAAAACCAGTGAGCACTGCCAGCCTCACAGGAACCACTGAGGAGGATGTGGAGGTGTGATGCTGTATGTGGAGCGATGCTGTATGTGAAGAATAAAAGTGTTACAGCATAAAAATATTACAGAAAAAGAAAAGCACCCTAAAAACCTGTGGGTGGAAATCCCAGTTGCTACTGATAAAAATGCTGTAGTAGGACTGTACTCTCCTTTTTGAGTTCTGTGAGAGTGGTCAGTGAGGCCAGAGGAGCAGTAAATGTGGGATGGTGGCATGAGTGGGAGCCTGCATACTGGCTGGATCAGTGCCTCATCAGCATGAGGTGCAGAAGCAGAATTCTTGGTTGTAATGAATCCCTGCTTCCAGGACGACCTGGTTGAGGAACCCAAGGAAACAAATGCTAGAGAGGCACAAGGATTTTGTTTGAGGGATGATGGTGGGAAACTTCTCTGAGGTTGCAATCCTGCAACGTGATCTCTTTTAATGCTGAAGTGGGAAAAAGCAGGCTGTGTGCATCCAATATGGGAGTATTCAGTTTCAAAGAAGGCAGTTAAATAAACTGAGGCAAACAGAAACAGTTACCCCCAGCTGCATCCTCAGCTCCATAGGGGTCCCTGGGACCACAGGCTGGTGCCTGTCCTGGTCAGTGTAAGAGGCATCGTCCTGGGGACAAATTGCTGGCTAGGAAATCCCAGCCCGGTTTTGCAATGAGTAACAAAGCAGAATAAACACAGTTATTCAGCACTGCACTGATGTGCTGGTGTTTCTCTTTGTTTTCTGCATATCTCAGGGAGACAGACATGGACATGTGGCTCAAACAGACCCAGCTGCAGCATTCGGAATCAGCCATCGGAACAATCTGTTCTCCCATGTAGCTTAGGGCTCTGACCCAACAGGGACTTGGTTTTGACAGTGTTTTCCTGCTGCTTCAGTTACTGCTGAGGGAAGTTGTTTAATTGGTCCCTCTGCCTGGTTTCTATGAAAGCCAGTCATTGCAGCTCCAGTCTCCAGACAGATCCCTGCCTGAGCCACGGAGGGATCAGCCGATGCCACCTGCAGCTTAACAAGTTGATGAGAGAGAAAGACTCCACCTCACACTTACTCTCTGCTGTAGGAAGCACATTTAAATAAATTTCCCAGTAGTAACTTCAGTTGTGAAACCAAATCACAGGACCCCAACAGAGAAGGTTTTTCTTCCCTATCTGCAATTTGTTTTCCATTTACTGACTGCTGATTCTGATTCAGCAGCGTTAGCTTGGAAAGGTCCTTAAACAACACCTATTGCATTTCCCCTCTCTACAAAACATGACTGCAAAGAAAGCAGGTTTAGATTAGATATTAGGAAGAAATTCTTTACTGTGAGTGTGGTGAGGCCCTGGAACAGGTTGCGCAGAGAAGTTGTGGATGCCCCATCCCTGGAAGTGTTCAAGGCCAGGTTGGATAGAGCTCTAAGCAACCTGGTCTAGTGGAAGATGTTCCTACCTATGGCATGGGAGCTGGAATTTGGTGGTCTTTTAGGTGATCTTAGGTCCTTTGAAGCTCAAACCATGTTGTGATTATATATGATGTACAGCTACTTTTACATGTTGGTCTTGAATGTTGTTTAAAACACCCAGGAAATGTTGCATTGCTTCATTATCCTAAAAGTTTTTTAAGTATCCAACAAATCTGCTGCTAAACTCACTGCTATTTGTCTTACCCTCAAGGGGAATGGAAGCATGTAGGTCCTTGTCCTTAATTTCTTTTGCATTTTAGAAAATCATAACTGTGTGCTTTCTCTCTCTCCTTTTTTTTTTTTTTAATTTGTGGGAGAATCTAAGATGTTCCTACCTATGTCATGGGAGCTAGAATTTGGTGGTCTTTTAGATGATCTTAGGTCCTTTGAAGCTCAAACCATGTTGTGATTATATATGATGTACAGCTACTTTTACATGTTGGTCTTGAATGTTGTTTAAAACACCCAGGAAATGTTGCATTGCTTCATTATCCTAAAAGTTTTTTAAGTATCCAACAAATCTGCTGCTAAACTCACTGCTATTTGTCTTACCCTCAAGGGGAATGGAAGCATGTAGGTCCTTGTCCTTAATTTCTTTTGCATTTTAGAAAATCATAACTGTGTGCTTTCTCTCTCTCCTTTTTTTTTTTTTTTAATTTGAGGGAGAATCGGGGTAAGATCTAATTCCTTGTTTCCACAGGCTGTACTTTTCAGCAGGGTTATGATTGTCCTGAGCATATTGTGTGTAACACCTGGGAAGTTACCCCAGGTGCTTCACACAATGTGCTGTAACAAAGATAACCCCCCAAATGAGATATTCCTTTTTTGCCCCCAGCCCTTTCCGTGGGATGGTTGCCCACCTGCTACACTGCTGCTTGACCTCATCGAATGTTTTGTGTTTAATTGATTCCTGTGCTTTGGTTCCTGACAGGTTTTCACAGTTCCTAACCACAATGGAAGTGCTCATGTTCCCTTTCCATGTAGCCCACGGTTTGATAGCTCACATCCTTAGTTCATTTTCTAACTGCAAATTTTAGAGAAACTGCTGTAGGACAGATTTGTGTATCTGCACCTGAAAATCTCACCAGTTTGGCCAGAAGCTGCTGCTTTTTGCACTTATTTTAAAGCCCTTCACATAGGAGGGCACTTTATATTTCTGCTCAAAATGTTATCAACCTCATGATATGGCACAACCATGGCTTCTCTCTTACCCAGTTAGATAAAGGTTTTAATTGATCTGAGATGGTTTTTCCCTGCCAAGCCAGGCTGCCAGCACCCTCCTGACAGTTTCATGCTGCTTTGTTGTCCCACAGGATCTCTCGAAGAACCATTCAATCCTTTACTCTAGCACCTTCCTCAACCTTTCAGGCAGGTGTCTTGATCTTTAATTCCCTGGAACTTTCTTTCCCCTCTGGTTTGGTTTTTTTTCTTTCCTTGCCTGTACTCCTGCTTTTTCTGATATGTTACTTGGTATTAGATAATTTGCTTTGCAAGATGTCTGTTGTTTTTGGATTTTTTTCAATAGGCCATGGGTCAAAAGGGTGACCAAGAGTGCAACTGCAGCTGCTCTGTCTACATCAGGCAGAAAAGGAACTTCCAGTAAAATGGACAGAGGTGACCAGAAAAAGATCAGAGAGGACAACAATCTGAACTCATTATTTGTCAGGAAACCTTTAGCTCAAATCTTAAGGCAGCATGCTACTCTTAAACTTTCCTTGTATATTTGCTCCTTCTTACCAATTTATCAAGCTTCAAATCATTTTCTGCAGAGATTTTCTGTATTTGCTGCAAAGTGATGATACCCTAAAACAAAATTTGGAACAAAATATGGAATTTCCATAACCTGGAATTTTAAATAGACTTTAAAATATAAATAATTCTTTGTGGTGATGCTGCACAGCTCAGCAGACAGGTCTGCAGGCCCTTGGGTGTTGCTACCACAACATGAAGCAGCAGCTTCATAGCTTCAAATTGGACTCCTGAGGAGCTCAGAGATCTGCAGGGCTGGCAGCACCAATAGTGGTTACAAGGAGCTTGCTGGCAGCAAGTGAGGATGACATGAAGGCAACCAGAGAGCTCCACTCTTGTTCACCCTTGGAACTCAAGCCCCAACTTTGTACACACAGGCAGCAGTGAGATTCCCTGCCCCATGAGAAGTTTATACTGATCTACCAAAAATTCATTCATAGGCTTTATATAAGAGGTTTATGTAATGCAGTTTTACATAACATAATGCACCAAAGGCTTCATCCTATGAATTTTACATAAGTAATGTTAAGTAGACAACCATGTGATGCATTTCATAAGTTTGTATTACAAGGTAATTATTTTAGTAAAATTATATTAATATAGTGAAGAATTCATTAAAGATAATATCAATATCTGTGGTTGCTCAACACTGAATTGTTTATGGTAGTCTTAAGAAAAAAATCAGTCACATTTGAGACAACCTAGGGTTCCTCTGGTCTCCAGAGGTGATAAAATTAGTTTGCTTGTAACATATGTTAATCATGCAGAGTCTTTGCCATGATGGTAAGCAGATGAGTGACTGGCAAGACAAGGGGCACAGTGTTAGAAGTCTGCTTTTGCTCTGTTGGCAAAAGCTGTCTCCAACCCAGCTCTCATGCTGCCTGTGTTGACCCTGCCTGGCAGCCCAGGCACGTGCACAGCACTGCTCTTTCCTGCCAGGCAAGGACTGCCAGGAACATCAGCAATGGTGGCAGCTGGAAGAAAAGTACCCTGACACCTCCAAAATGGTTGTTTGAAAGGCTAAATGTGAACATTCCTATTACCATGTTCACAAGTTTGGGTCAGCAGCCAGGCTCAGGCCCAGCTCTTCTGACATACCCAGTCTGCAGCTCCATTATCCTCTGTTCTCAAACTGAGTTTTAGACCCCTTCCAAGAGTACTGAATGGGGTTATTTACTCAAGCTGTAGATTGCTACCCACTGAACCCCATGAAAAAAAAACAAAAACAAAAACAAAAAGACCATTGGGATTTAACTTTTTCTTTATTTCTATGTTATTTTCATTATTGTTCTCTAATTAATAAATTGGCACCAAGAGACCCATCCCTTTCAAACAGACCAGAGCTCATTTACTTCTATCAGAAACTGGGATTCCTGGCAGAGAGACTGATGCTGAAATGCTTTTGAATTTGGAGGAAACTCAGCATAAATGTGCCAAAGCTAAAGCAGGAAAAGTTGTGGGTTTTTTTACCAAAACTATTGCTGTGATACAGCTCCCGGCGTGGGTACGTGTGGGGCTGACTCCTGCTCCAAGGGCTGCTCTCTGATGGAAAGGCATTTTGCCTGCTGTGGCACTTGCAGTATTTTCCATATAGATGCCCTGATGAGGTCCCCAGTTGCACCATGGCCATGGATTCAGGAGACCAACCAAAGCAAGTTTAGTGTTGTTCCCCTGAAGGCTGGCTACAGAACACTCAGCTACTGCAGAGACCAAAGGCTCACTGAGAAGTCTCTTCATTGCTCCTTAGCCAGCAGAACCAAGGCAAGGAAAACAGGGCATTCATCCCCTGCATTGGCCATGGAGAGGAAAGAAGATGGATGCAGATGGGAAGAGCACAGCTGATGCCCAGGGAGAGCTGTTTGTGTCCATGTCTGGGAGATGCACAAACAGCCCCGGGGTGCAGCTTTGAACAGGAAGCGTCACCTTCCTCACTCAAAATTTAGGCATTGCTGGTCTGTCCCCATCTGCCTGTCAAAGGCTCGAGCTTGTGGGATCTCATCCCTGGGGATCTCTTGGAAGTCAGTGCTGAGCTTGCCCATCAGCGAGCGGGGGGCTGGGATTTGCTGGAGCGAGCAAGGTGGCATTGGCAACGCCACCAGCATCGGTCCTGCCAGGAGACCTGAGGAACTGCTCTGGGTACTACAGCACTGGGCTGTGGTGGGTACTACATCACTGCTGGGCCAGTCTGCAGAGGGGAGGCTCCATGGTGGGGTGGGTTTAAGACCTAGAACCCATTTCTCTTAAAGAACTGGGCTCGCCTAATCACGCTGTTGACGTAGTTGTAGTCTCTGCTGCATGGGTCCGCCTCGTAGACCTGGACATTGCCCATTTTTGCATGGTAGGTGCAGATTCCCCCTGGAAAGAGTTAAGAATAAGTTGTTAAGGGCTTGTAAGTAAGAAATAGAGATTGAAGAGCAAAAATTTGTAGCAAAAAATGCCATGCATGTCACCTAACAGGAACTGCTTGACAAAGTGCCAATTGTGCATGATTGTTGAAAAGTGACTGATTTTGTAAAATCTTTGTTGCTGTAGTGAAGGACACCACGACTCTCCCCAAATGCAGGTGGAAATGGAACACTGTTACCAGAAAAGGGTGTAATCACAGCAAAGGAAGGGCAGTAGCAGAGTAAGGAAGGGAGAGTAGAAAATAGCATAGGGTGAACAAACCAGCACACAGATAGCACAGGCTACAAGGAAACCTGGATCGCAGTCTTCCTGGATGAAACCTAACAGGCTGCCACAATAATCCTGTTGTGTTGTGATGCCTCAGTTTCTGCATTCTCCAGTGACTTTTCTTTAGATGCTTTCTGATTTATTTATCCACCTAACAGTCATTGCTAGTCTGCTGATCTAGTACTGCTTCTGTTAAACTAGAAAACTCTGGTTCTGGCTGTTATTTCAGGGCTTTGGGGTTTCTTTTGTTTGTTTGGCGTTTTTGGTGGGGTTTTTTGTAAGAGGTCCTGTAAAATCTGCCAGACTGATGATTTTTTTCCCTTAAAAGTGACACCAACAAGCACACAGCATTCCCATCAGTCAGTCTGTCCCTCCCTAGCACAAAGCCCATGCCGTACCTCTCAGCTGCCGGTCCCAGGTCCAGGTAGGATGTCTTGCCCGTACTTCATTAATGGAAAGAACCAGGATATTTGAGCACTGATTTATGTGTTCTTCACTATCCCACGTCACAGAAGGTTCCAGTTGCTGCCTGCTGATCTAGGAAAGACAAACAAGAAAATGGGGTTCCCTCTGAATGCCACTCCCTCTTCATTGCACTCCCAGGCTTTGACTCATTGAAGTGACCTTATTGAGGACTGCCTTTGATACAGAGGCATTGCAATAAAGCTCTCTCTCAAACACAGAACAGTCATTTGCTAAGATAAAGCCCTGGGGCAGGCACTACATGACTGTGCTGTTGGTCTTGCTTATCACCCTGGAGTACCTGCATCAGGCCGTACTTCTGCTGCCCGCGGTCCCAGCCGTTGTCCAGGAGCAGGCCCACACGGCTCTCCTGGGATATGATGGCGCCGATGAGCGCTGGGTCCAAGCACAGGTTTCTGGCTACTCTCTTGATTGGGATCTCGTATCTTCTCAGGCGTGGGAGGTCTGCCTCAGCAGTCCTTCGTATCATGGCATACCCTGCTGTATAGGAAAAGGGAGACTTACACACAGCCCCGTCCAAACCCCTTGCTTCCCCCTTGAGCGGGTGTATCAAAGGAGTAACTCAAGTTTTTAAGAAATTGGGCAGTGGGGTTTGAGGAACAAGCACAGCTCTATTGGCTCTGACCATGGCCAGGGAGCTGCTTTTCCACTACCCGAGGATGACCAGGGGAACAGGGAGGCTTCTTAGGAGGTGGAATACATGGTCCTTATCTTCTGCTGCACTTCTGGAGTAAGAAAAGTGAAGTTTCAAAATGGATTTGAAAAAATTGAGGGGTATGTTACTACAGATTGTCCACACTGCAATAACAGCTATGTTCCATTTCTAGAGAGTGGGGGTTTTTTGAAAGCAAATTTGGAACATTTTGGAAACAAGCAAGCAGGTTCAGATCTTGAACACTCACAGTCAGGTGTCTGCCCTGGAAGAGCCTACATCCCAGGAACATGGTAAAATCCCTGGAGATATCAGCAGTATGAATGTGACACAGTCAGCTGTGTGCTCACACCAGGCAAGAAAGAGAGAGACATGAAGCACTGGCCAGCTCAGCCAACATGGAGGCACTCAGGACCTGTCTGTGTGTATCTTACCCTGGGAGCAGACAAGCCCTGGGGCTCAGTGAGGAAGCTGATGCTGAAGTCCTGGCTGATGAAGAGGCTGTTTTAACTGAAAAGAGGTGGTACTATTTCCTTTTGCTTTGAGGCCAAAGATCCTGACTATGGGACATGAAGTTTGTCCTTCCACTTCCCATCAGGTCTAGAGGCTTCACCTGCTATTTTGAGAGAAGTGTTGCTTTCTCCCCTTTAGCTGATTGGGTAGCTGCACCACATTTAATTTGGCAATGACAGGAGGCAAGGCATCTCTCTGTCAGGTACAAACATGTTGACAAATCAAGCAACAAATGATACATACCACAGTCAGAGGCTCTTGCAGGTGTACAGGACATCGTGGGGGCTTGAAGAGCACTTATATCTCCATAGCAACTGTAACTCACGGATGGAGCTGAAATATTAAACGGAGCTGTTTGAGCACATAAGATCTCAGAGCAGTATTGTTCAAGTCCTGCAAGTGCATACAAGTCAAGCATGAGGGAGTCCAGACCTGCAATCCACATCCCCTTGTGCTGGCCCTGCTTGTACAGTGGCCACTGGTCTCCATCAGTAATGTTATCAAAGAAAGGTAGAGAACGGGTTCTTTTTCCAACTTTTCTGACTATTGAAGCAAATGGATGTAATGACTGTTTAGATGAATGTGCACCTGCCCTGTTAGGTCTAAAGGCTGGTGTGGGAGAGGAGAACCAAAGGTGTGGAGGGCAGTTCCCATCCAATGCCCCCCAGTGTTTGGAAGCACTCAGATGATGGCTGGCAGTAGCTGCACACCCTGTCTGGGATTGTCTGCTGTGTCCCTCGATAACTTGGTGAGGAATTAATTCAGGAGAATGCTTGCCTCAGTCTGGGAAAATTACCCTGTTTCCCCAGTAACTGAAGAACAAGTAGCCTCCATCAAATAGATTGCTACATTTGTGAGACCATTTCTGAGAAGACAGGGGTGACTGGATAAGGTTAGCTGGGAAAACCAAGAGGAAACATGGCTGTGACTCCCTTGGTTTCAGTCCCGTCCTCCAGACGAGCTGGTTTAAAAAGCAGCAAGCAGCCTCATCCAGCAGTGAGGACCTGCAGCCACACAGGACCTTACAGAGCCATGCAGGAAGGGAACCTCAGGCCTACTGCACACTTCCTCTCCAAGGTCCTTCTGCAAACAAACCCATGTGCTTTTGACAGCAACTCAAGCCTGTCTTACCAACAAGGGCGGAAAGGCCCAGCAACAGCAGTGCGGGGATCATGGTGACGGCTCTCCTCAGCTGTCCTGGGAGACCTGGAAACACAGTGGTTTGCAAAACATGAAGAAATTACTGCTGACTTTCAACAACACTCTAGCAAAGTTGGCATGCCAAAAGCTTCCACCCTGAGGCACCAGACAGGGATGGCATTAGCTGAAGAGGGGTTGGGTGACAGAGGAACTCTCTCCCCTTAGGGAGGTTGGGGCCAGGGAGGTCCCTGTTGGCAGCCTGGACTAGCAGGGGCCTTTTTAGCCCCAGTCAGTTGTCATTGCTTGCTCACACGGCCCCTCCTGAAGGCCCATAGTGTGTCTTTATGGTGAACAGGTCCACTAGCTTTGCTTTAGTTTTATAGGTGTTCGAAGTCTAATGTGCTATAAAGTGCACACAACCCCTCCCTCCCTGCTCAAAAAGGGTTTTTCCTTGGCTCTTGGAAAAACTTGTTTTCAAAAATCAAGAACTCTGATCCTTAATACTCTGCTAAGAGCATGCAAGGCAACTCCAACATATGTTTGGTGAAATAATACTTCTCTGTGTGATACTGGCAGATAACCACTTTAATAATAAATGTGTGTTGTGCCTATTAATAAAATTCCAAAATATCATCAGATGATAGCTATCAAATGCAAAAAAAAAGACTGTATTTACCTTGCTGATGAACACATTTAAACTGAGCAGCTTTTATGTCTTACAATTTTTTTTCCCAAGCAGATTTCAAACACAAAATACACCATGAGTCTTGTAGACAATTAACACTAATGCTGTTAACACTTGAAAACACATTATCAGTTTTAATAGCATGTGGCCATTTCTCTAGCCTGCATTTCTACTGCAAACCAGATTATATGGATGCAGAAACACAAATAATCCACCAGTATCATTGGAAAGGCTCTGTTGTCCTGACTGAGCTTTTTCAGACCAGCAGTGCCCATGGCCAGATCAGGGTACACCCAGCAGCTCTGTTTGAGCTCTAACGCTGAGACTAAGTATTCACAAGCCCAGATCAATACAGCTTGACCCAACACCTATGAATTTAATGGCAAATCTACCTGTATCCCTATTGAAAGCTACAGGATGTAGCTCTTTCCATCTGCAGGAATTTTTTTTCTCTCCACTCCATCACAAAAACCTCACAGGCCTTATATAGAAACACCATAGCAATCACAATATTGGCAAAATGCTAAATCAAAACAAATCAAGGCTTCTGGTTCTAAATAAATATTCTGTAAGTGAATTCAGACTCACCTGTATTCAGTTGTCCTTCCTCTGAGGCAGGTCACTTGATGACTTTATATATATATGTAGGAAAAGGTATCCACCCCATGGGGTTTGGAATGTTAATTCCTACCTATTGTGATGACTGTTTTAAAGAACACTAAGTAATATATATTAAGAGCTTATAACTCCAATGATTTCTTTCATCCAAAGATCTGCACAAAGAGTGGTTAGTCAGACTCAGGACAACTCTGTGAAAGGAAATAAACACTGTTTTTCCTCCATCAATAAGCACATTGATGCACAGTAAATGACTTGCAGAAATTATTGAAATGAATCAGTGGCAGAGGCCAGGCAAAAACCAGATCCCTGGGTAACCCTCTCCTTGCTTTGCATCTGGACATATTTCTGGAAGGATTGTTTTTGTCTTGTTTCCTCAATGGTTTCAGATAGGCAAGCTTTTAATTAAGTATCATACTTAATTAAGTATCACACTTTAATTAAGTACTATATTAATTTTAACAAGGACAATTAAAGAAAATCATCCCACTGCTTCATTGTTTACAACAAACCTAATTCAGGATGAGCACTTGAGTACCTTGAGAGCAGAGGCAGAATCTGAGTTTAAAATGTGGGGAGGCAAAGGTTGCAGCAGAAATTAGGAGGAAGAAACTGATCTCTCAGCAACTGGAGTCAGTGGGGACACACAGAGGGGCTCTGAAAGACTTGCACTTTGCAGCCAAGATACTTTTCACATATCTAAAACAACTGAGTCATTTGGAGAAGGAAAGACAGTCTGGGAGGCCAGTGCCCTTCAATCCTGCTTGTTTGCCACATTTTTCTCTTCCCTAGACTGTGCCCAGCATGCATGGAGGTAAGGAAGGCCAAGATTTTGTTCTGGTGGCTTTCTCTTCATTATTTAATGCATCAAAAATCCATCTAGTCCCATTGCTCTTTTGGGAGTGATGTGGCAGGTAGGAAATGCTGTTTTGGCAAGTTACTAATTAACCAGGCATTGTTACAGGAGGTTTAGTATAAGGGTTATGGTGAGTCTTAAATACAGAACTCCTACTGAAACCTTCCCAGAGATTACAACAAAGCTAGGCAATTATTCTTCATGCTCAAACCTGATATCTTCTGTGGTATCTCAGACTAGACTACCATGTTATCCTTTTACTGGGTTTTAACATTTAGAGCAGCAGAAGGTAAAGTTTGACATAATGTAAGGGGCACATCTTTGTGGTGTTGTTATGGTCTAAAACTTAGAAAATAGGAACATCACATGTGCAGTGTGCTTTAGTCTTTTCAAAGGCAATAGCTACTGATGAAATGCTGGAGGGAAGGACAACAAGAAGAAATGATCTGGGAAAAGCTCATAGTGCACAGCTTGATGGCAGCAAAGCCAGTAGGTGTATTCATTTATCCACAGAACAAGACAATAATTTTGTATTAGAAAGAGATGTATTCTCTAAAATAGACTGTAACAATTTAGTATTAACATCTGGGTATCCTTTATAAAAACAGCATCATGCTAGTGACAAAAAACTAATGTTCCTCTGTCACTGAGCCTGTGTTCATGCTGAAGACTTGGGACCTTCCTTGAGCAGCAGCCTATAACCTTAGATAAGATTTGTTTCCTAGTATGTTGTCCACTTGCTGATGGTCCTTAAGATAAAATTTTGAATTGAAATACTGTTTGTCTTTGCTACATATTTTTCTCTTTCATTTGTTACCATGTAATCACATTTTTCTATATTTCACAATAGTCATATGAATTCGTAATGCCTATTCTGCATTGCATTGCTCCTTATATACTCATTGAGTAGTGGATGTTATGTTTTAAATGCAAGGTTTTTTATCTATGCTGCTATAAGCTCTTAGGTCCCTGGGACAGATTCCTTGTATTCATACAAATTCCACTGTAAGCCCAAATAAGAGGATACTTTTTCAGCAGGGTTATGGATTTTTTCTTGCTCAAACTCTATCCACACAAATTTTTCCAACTGCCTTTTAGAGTAAAAGCCAAAAGCAAGCACCCTCTATGGAAACATGATCATATACACTGAAAGGAGCAGGGCTCTCAGCGAGTGCATTTGTTCAAGGCACCACCACCTAATGAGAGCTGCACAATGTTAAAAAACACCATCTTCTGCTAAAAGGTCTTTGTGGGGCTGTGTAAACACAGAGCATTGAGTGTAGGTGAGCCACTTAATGAGAGTGGGCTGCATCTGGCACAAGTACAGCACATTTTTTTCATTTTTATGATAGATTTAATTTGGAAATTTTCATCAGGAGGAGTGTCAATACCTATTGTCCTTGTGCTGGGTTTGCTCAGCACAGCATGTGACTGGGAGGGAAGGGATGGGAAGTCAAGGAAAGAGGAGGAGTTCACTCATCAAATAGTATCTGCATCTTCTTAAATTTAAGAAGTAGGAAAGATTCCTGGTATTCATGGGCATCCTGGCATTAAGCTGCAGTCAGTGACCACAGACACGCTTTCTCCGTGATCTGTCAGTGACACTGTTGGTTACATTCAGGTAAAGGGAGAGCAGTGTGGACAAAAATGTTACCTGACACAACAGCATTCTCCACTTGTCTTACACAAACTAGAAGGGACCACTCCCGAGATCTAAAGCACGCCAATGTTCAGTACCAATAGCTCTTTCCTATTCACAGATTTTCACTTTATATTTTTTGCCTCTCATGCCAAGGGAAGTTTTTTACATTCTGCTTGATGGAGAAGGGATGAAAATGGAGCATCATTTTGAAAAGGACTACATGCTGTACATGTTCTCCTTCAGGTTGCAGGTTTTAGCATCACATGTCACTGGGTGGTGAGAATACCATCTAAAATTACTTGGAATGATACTCACATTAATTATTGTCTCCACTGTGAGTTTCAACTTGTTTCATAACATCGACAGGCAGATGAATTTCTCATGTTGTTCCTTTTGTCTCAGATGTAATTACAGGTAACACCAGGTATTCTCAGACTTTGTAACTGCTTTATAGGGAAGCTGCCCATCACTGCTGACGTAGGTTGGATACCTACCACTAGCTGACCACTTAAAGATGTATCTGCAGCATCATCTCAGACAAATTCTCTACAGTTGTCCTTCCCAGCTTTTAAAGGGACACACCCAATTTAATGATTGATTTCCATAGTTTTTTCTTTCTAACATCTCGAATACCTGGAAGTAATCACAGAATCATTTAGGTTGGAAAACACCTCTAAGATCATCGAGTCCAGCCATTAATACAGCACTGTTAACACAATTCCATCACTAAACCACACCCCTAAGCACCACATCTACACATCTTCAAAAGTCCTCAAACTTGTAAGACATGAGGCTGTCAGTTTTCACTCTATTCAGAAGTGAACAATCTTTTCCTTTACCTTGCCTTTTTAAAGAATGAAGATGAGCATTGAAGTAACATTGCACTCTGCATCTCTCTGGCCTTCACATAAAGTGTCTAAGGCCAGAGGTGTTTATGAGGGAGGGAAACAAGTATTTTCCTTCTGTTCTCTAAAATGAAGTTTTTAATTTCACTGTAGGAAAGGTGTCCTAGCAAAAAGGTCATTGGATTGGATTCTATAGAGCTTGTTCACATCCCATCTTAAACACAGATCTATCACCTAAAGCAAGTAATTCAAAGTTTGAGGCAAGTTAGGGTCTTGCTCATGGGTCAGGGCAATCCCAAGCACAGATACAGGCAGGGGGATGAATGGATTGAGAGCAGCCCTGAGAAGGACTTGGGGCGTTGGTTGACAAGAAGTTCAATATCACCCAGCCATGTGCACTCACAGACCAGAAAGGCAACTGTGTCTGGGCTGCAGCAAAGGCAGCTGTGGCCAGCAGGCCGAGGGAGGGGATTCTGCCCCTCCACTACAGTCTCATAGGATCTGGGCTCCCAAAGAAAGAAGGATGTACAAATGCTGGAGCAAGTCCAGAGGAGGGTCACCAAGGTGATCAGAAGGCTGGAGCACCTCTGCTATGAAGACAAGCTAGAATTAGGAAAAGGAAATACTCTGAGGATACCTCATAGCACATTCCACTACCTAGAGGGGCCAAACAAGAGAGTTGTGGAGGAACTTTGTACAAGGGCATGTAGTGATAGGACAAGGGGGAATGGCTTCAAACTGACAGAGGGTAGGTTTGGATTTGATACAAGGAAGAAAGTCTTTGTGTGAGGCACTGAAACAGGTTGCCCAGAGACGTTGTGGGTGCCCCATCCCTGGAAGTGTTGAAGGCCACACTGTATAGGGCTTTGAGCAACCTGGTTTCATGGAAGATGTCCCTTTCCATTGGGCTTGGAACTCAATGATGTTTAAGGTCGTTTCAACCCAAACCATTCTGTGTTTTCATGATAACTATTAAGGACATTTCTGTGTGCTTGGACTTAATGATACAAAGAATTGAGGACTGTTAACATTCTAGAAAACAAACAGGAAAGCATTTCAGGCTTTTTTCTAGGGTGGTGCACAACAAAAGCAATAATTAGCAAGGAGGAAGTAGATCAGGAAGGTAATTAATGTCATTCTATGTATTACAATCATCTGATTTTCACACAATGTCATCTTGGGAAAAGCCAATCATTACTGGATATCGCATGGTTTGCAAAGAAGGTAAGTTAATTTTTAACCCTTTTTTATAAGAGTCACATGTTGAAGTCATACCACCAGGTGGGTGATGCTTGAACAGGCTGTGGTCCAAAATGCAAATTATATTAACACAGATTCAACATTGAGCTGACATAGCTTTGTGGCTACTAGACCAGTATTGGCTTAGTTTAGGCAGCTCAAGCCATGGCTGTAACAATTAATCAAAACCCAAAAAGTAGCTTTAGATTATGCATCTTATGAGCTCTCTAAAAGTAAGTTTTCTTGACTACTTCCTTTCCATCAGCAAGCACCCAGTATTTCTCAGTGTACATGCACTTAAAATTAATTAACCAAATTTGAACAAGGTATTTTTGGGTGATGCTCTGGGGTGTTATGTACTGCTTTAGCCAGTCTGATACATTACCTTAAATTGATGAAGAAGGTATGAGCATAAGTTCCCTTCTTTAGCATATGATACAAGAATGATGCTCTGCAGAGGGACAGGGAACAAGGAGCATCTGGCAGACCACAATGTCGTGGATCACCACAGTCATACTGGACTGGCTGAACGCTGAAGGCTCCCAAGCATGATCCAAGAGCAAAAGGTCAGAGTAGACCTTTTTTGTGTCAATTGTGGTGGAACCTGCCTCTATTTATCCTTTAAATGTGGCTCAGGAGCAACATACCCCTCAGAGGAGTTCTCAAGCAGTCTACTGTAACATCAAGCACCTTCTGACTCTTAGAGGCTTTTCTTCAGAGCATAACTCTCACTCTCAAACTGTCACATACAGCTGTTCTAAAGAGACAGATCAGTCACTACTGACAGAAATTTCCTTTCAAAAAGTGGGTTACACAGCTATTGTATATGCAATGAGTAAAAAAGCCATGTTATTTCTGCATCAGCTAGTGCTTGTTTGTGTATATGTGAAGATTCTCACACTAATTTGAGAACAGGTTTACTCATGGGGAAGACAAAGGCTTGTCTTAGAAACTGTACTGGTCAAAGCCCAAATTTCTACAGGAATTTCTGTAGAAAAGCCTTCATTTTAGTATTTCTAGGCGGGGAATATAAAAAAAAGGGGATTACTTGTAACATAGGATTGACAGCACCAATTCATTTTTTGAGTTGGCCTCCCTCCACTCCTGTGACACTTGCAGGTAATCCAGCCTTAGTGGGGTCTGAGAGCAGCTACTCAGTTGATGCCCTCTCCAGAATTTGTTTCTCATCCTGCCTCTTTCTTGGACCAGACTTCTTTACACTCTCAGATCCCAAAGCTCAGCTCAGCACTTTGGGGTAGATTTCTAGAAACAGAGCAAAACCCAGGATCAGTCAGTGATCAAGGAATGTCCAGTTGTGTCCACATAATTCAGCATCAAGAGATCTTTGGTTATTATTACTGCATTTATCTTTTTTTTGTTATTTCATACCAAGCATCAGGCACAGACTTAAGCACTAATCATTACTAAAGTTATACGCTGAGTTCAGGCATCAGCCCCATCACTTGCAAAGCTATACCTGAACATTTCTCATCTCTTGGTTGTCTAACAACCTTTCATGGCTGACACATGCCAGACCAGGTACCATTTTGTGATTGGTCTAGGCTCAGGAACCTTAGTCAGTCATGTCCTGACATATCTCATCCATCTGTAGTAAGCAATTAATCACATAAAACCTGCGTGTCTTCTGCATATTGCACATCATCATCATCATCTCATCTATCAGCCAAGTGGTCACTAGATTGTTGTTGACAAAGTTAATCTTTCTGCTTTTCAAGTCTGTACAGCTGACATTTATTTGAGCTGGTGTTCTCTGTATTGTGACACTTCTAGCTTGCTGTCCCAGGTTTTGTATCACGGACAATTCATTAATTTAACCTGCACAGCAAAATCATTAAACTCTACCACAGAGGAGTAATTTGTTCCTCACTACTCAAACTAGATGAATTTCCCATTTCTTAAAGAACTTCTAGGTTTCAGCAAAAATAAATTTTTTGGGTTTGAATTGTTCATCTCAAAGTAATATGCAGGATGGAGGTGTAACCAAGAGGACTGTTCAGTAACAGTTTTAATGTTCATTCAAGACAGAATATGCAGAAACCAGAAAAGTTTCCATGAAAGCAAGGACTTGAAGGAGCAAATCTGTGAGATTGCTACTTTCAAAATAAATCTGAATTTATAGTATGAACAGTCTCAACTTCCCTTGTTACCCATGTCCACGGCAGGGGCATTGGAACTGATGATTTCTAGGGTCCCTTGCAACCCAGGCAATTCCCTGAGCCTCATTCTACCCAAGCCACACATTCCTGCAAACTCCTTACATCAGCATTAGAGTATGTGTGGTCATGTTACAAGCCTGATGAAGGAAGAGGTCCCAGGAAGATTAACCCAGAAAAAAAAATCATCAGCTTAAAGTGACATGAAAACAGTGGGGTTGGAACTGATGATCTCTAGGGTCCCTTGCAACCCAGGCAATTCCCTGAGCCTCATTCTACCCAAGCCACACATTCCTGCAAACTCCTTACATCAGCATTAGAGTATGTGTGGTCATGTTACAAGCCTGATGAAGGAAGAGGTCCCAGGAAGATTAACCCAGAAAAAAAAATCATCAGCTTAAAGTGACATGAAAGCACAGACTCCAAGTAGGATTTGCACTGAGTGTGTAATGAGGCTATTCACGTGTGGAACTGAGTAACCTCCAACAACGCACCGTGCTGGAATCCTGACAAGCCCACGTGTTTCCACACAGCACGCAACTACATTAGAGGTGATTTTATATTTACACAGCTTCTTCCCCACAATTAGAGCTCAGTGATGAGTCCTGCTAAGATACTTGTAAAAATACTCTTGGAACATTGGTTTCCTGAATTTCATGTAACTGGATGCAGGGGAAAAAAAGGAGCACTTTCTAATGCATTTAAAGAGTTTGTGCATTAAAAAAGGATCAATGCAAAGCAAGTCTCCTTTATGCTTCCCCTAGATCAAGAGGCAGCTGTGTACATCTTGATTGTGTTCTCAAAGTGATCCTGTACGTTAGGACAGAACTGTATATCACCTATTAGAAATCTAGAAAGGGCTCAAACAAACTTTCTGATGGACTTTATTAATAGAGAAATTATTCCACAGCACCTAGATCTTCTTTGAAAGGATACAGTAGTCAACATTAGAATTAAAATAATTTTATTTCAATGTACATGAACAGAAATAAAATATAATTTTTTTAACTTAAAGAGATATATTGCTGGGCTGGCCCAATCACAAGTGTTGTCTACTACAAGGCAGCAAGACTGGCTAGACCCACTTCACTGCTATTTGGACCAACTGGGTTCAAAGTACCACCTCAAAAGGGTCCCTCAGCACAAAGCAAACAATTTTTCTGAAAATGAAAAGAAAACTCATCAATGGTTCACCTAGCCAGGAATTTTACATTGTGTCCAAGGAAGATCTCTCAAAAATTCTGTCCATCACTGAAGAACAGTACACAGTATGCGGCACTATATCTAAACTTAACGATCAAGGTTTCTCCCAAATACTTTTCTCTATTCTACTCTCTTGTACAAAGCATCTGCTATAAAATCCACACATTCACAACCACAGAAAGATACAAACCCGTGAACAAGGCTGTTTTCAATAGCTTCAATTGCTATGTGCTATTGCCTGCTGTATCAGCTCTGACATGCAGCATTCATAGATGGTAAAAGGGCATTTCTCTTGGCCATCTATTTCAGAATTCACAGAAGTTATGACTGTTTTTACAACTTACAGTGCAATGCAGTTAATTTATTCAATGGCATGATATGGCACCATAAGAAAAGCAATTATTTGTTAAAATGCACAATTTCTTTACTAATAATTTTGTGGTGCTTTACTGATAATGTAAGTAATAATAAATATAAAAAGACAATTGGAAAAGGAACTTATAAAGAACAATCTTTTTTAGAAGTGTATGTTAACTCCTTTAATAATGAAAAACAGGAAAAAAAACCTTTTCAGATTCAATGAAAAAAATAGGAAGTAGCTCCTCACACAGCACAGTTAAACTGTGACCTCCTTGCCACATGATGAGGATGTCTGGGTACCATGAGGATTTAAAGAGATTTTTCTTCTATTGTTTTAAGCAGCAAATGCTCTCAGATACGGTGTTCCCCAAGCCACAGATTGCTTAAAGTAGACTGTGGGGAAGCATTGCCATCTGGTCACCCTGTTTTCATTCTTCCTTGTGCATCTCCTTTTAGCCACTGAGACCGGATCCTGGGCCAGAGGGACCTTTGGTCTGACTTCATACAGCTGTTTCTAAGTTACTTCAAAACATTTCATAAACTTATACTTAAGACAAAGGGCTCAAGTTCATCATTTGCCATGTCATTTAGTTAGAAGGACTAAGATTTTCAAATTACAAATGACTTCCAAAAGAGAAAAAAAAAATCCTTAAGCTTTTTTCCTGCTGTGACTCAGTTGTATAAAATTGTATAGAAAAATGAGAATTATGTGCAGATGTAATGAAAAGCAGTAAGCTTTATAAAAAACATTCTTAGAAATGTACCACGCATAAACAAAAGATGATTTACAAATATATTTAGCGGCTCTTCTAGTCATCATCAGAATCTGAATCATATAGCTTTCCTCTGATGGTCTTCTTGTCCAGCTTTGTAAAGCTTGTTCCGTATTTCTTTTGACTTTGAAAAGGTGGCTCCATCAAGTTTCCACTACAGAAAAAGGGTAAGACAAGTTGATTAAAGCCTTATTCATACAGACAGTATCATCTCTAATGACCTGTTTCTCCAGAAAAACACATTCTAAGAGAACACAATGCCTACTTGCTACAGCCACCCTAAGCAGCACTGCGGTGTTGCTAGCATAGCACATCCTGGTCAAAATGGCCTGGAGAGCTGGAGTTAAGACAGGAGTGTGAAAGTAAACAGCACCTGTAAGTGGAGCCCTAAACTGAAAAGGCTTTTCCTGCAAACTCATCATGCTAAAGACAACAATCTGTCAGATCAAACTGTAACTAGGGAATTAGAGAGACTTTTCAAAACAGGTGAGCAACCACCTACACAAAAGAAACTAAAATGTTGTTAACAGGGACTTTGGAGTCAGAACTGGGGTTTGCCAGAAGCCACCTTGTGCTGTCTCTGCTATCTCTTCCCTGCAGGACTGCACATCTTCTACAGGACCGCGGGGGAACGCGCACCTCAGAGTGCCCCCATGATCCTGCAGGGGCTCTCTCACCACCATGTGCATCCATGGGAATTGGTTTAGGCAGCTTTAGGAACAGCAGGTTTCCACATAAAGCTGGAGCACCTGCGTCTCTTCCAGCAGGGTTGTGCAAGGAAGGGAATTCCCTGTGGCTGCTCAGAAAAGGGTGTGCCCTGCTTTTGCTCACATGACTTGTGAGGGGTTTGCATCCAAGTGGCAGTGAGTGAGTGAGCAATTACAACAGTTACAACCTTCTGGTGTTAGCTATAAATGGCTGTTTAGAAATTTGTAGTTCTTTATAAAATGTTAATACTATTTTACTGGTATTAATCCTAAATACACAGTTCACTGATTGCGATTTAATGTTACGTTAACATACCATTTGAATCCTGATTTTGGCCAAATCATCTGACCTGAACAGTTTTTCCCCTAAATAAAGTATACCCTTTTACCATCTGCTATCCCACAGGCTGAAGGAAAAGAACTATTTCTAAGCTCTGAGGAGGCCTATGCCCTTTTCAGGAACTCCAGAGAGTGGGAGGTTATTTTCAGAGCAGTGAGGAAATGTGGCTTGCATTGCAAACCCAGGGTCTGCAAAAAAGAATGAAGAACAAAATTCCCCCACTCCACGAGGAGCTAAGAACAACTACACAGTACTAGTAGAGCCAAGTAGAAGCAAAACTATGCCATAAGCCAATGTATCAATGTTTAGCAAATTCAGTGGTGCTTGATACAACTCCAGTGAAGGATTTTTCCCATGAAAGGCTGTTGCTGTCTAGAATATGCATCCAAGCTGTCTCTGCATATTTGCTTTTTACTGAACTGGGAAATACCAGTTGTTTTAAAATTGTAAGTTTCAGTCATTTCACTCAAAGTTCAACAGCTAATAAGACAAATTGAGTAATAGTTTTTTTGGCTTTAAGATACAATACTTCTTGACAAAATTTTACCTCATTAGACATTTAAATAAATTCAGGTAATGAAATTTAAAATTTAAAGTGCACTAAAGACATTCAAACCAAAAGAGCAAAATCAACCTAAAAAGAAAAATCACATTTGAACCACATTGGAAAGAAAAGCAGAATTTTGGTAAATAATTCTCCTGTAAAGTCAGGCTATTGTGGTGACAGGTATGTTCTACTGCCTTTTGTTCTGTAGTCTTTAACAAGGTACTTACAATGATTATATTGTACTGTTACACAGTTTATTTACACTTATTCTAATAATTTTCCATTTTCAGTACAGAAATTTGAAGAAAAAAGTATATTCATGTATGCAATACTGATTTAGATGCAGTTAAGGATGACTTGCTGAGTTTTCTCTGAAGTGGATGAAAAATGCTCAGACTTTACTGCATTGCAACTGTGACATGAAGCATCTATAGATGCTATAGGATTACATGAGATGCATAACACTGAAGCCATATCAGAGCATCACTGCTACTCCATACACCTCATGACAAGAACTGGGTTTATTTTTATTGCTCTACAAAAAGAACAACTCAACACTCATTACAAAGACTCAATACTTTGCCAAAGAGATTATCTTCTTTCCCTTGATGAAGCACACAGATTAAGTAACTAGATTAAACTCTTACATGTCTTTTTTAGCATACAACATATTAAAGTTACAACCTTTCACATTCTCCTGTCTGCAAGCTCATTCTCTCTGTACTTAATCTGAAATTAAAGAATCACAAAATACTTAATTACCTGTAATTAATTACATCTGCGCAGCCTAATCTCCATTCCAAGGTTTCTGTAGTGAAGTCATCAGTGTTACCGAGGTCAGTAAAGCCCACGACGTAGTCTTGTGTTTTTCCATCTTTTATTAGTGCTAGAGTGGGAATTACTTTGATGCGCAGTCTCTCGCACAAGAAAGGAGATTTTTCAGCATTTAATTTCAAGAATTTTGTCTCAATGTGCTTTTTTGCCAATACAGTCAAATGTTTGTCCATTATTTGGCACCTGTGGAAAAATTAACCCAAAATACATAAAGTGTTAGAAATAATAAGTTGACAAATATGTATTTGAGAGGAAGTTTAAAAGGACCAGTAAAGAGCTAGATCTATCATGTTAATACTTAGACATTACCTCTGTAATAGAGAATTTAGTTTCAAGAGAAACTATGTTTCAGAGGTAGCTGGATTTAATGACTAATAGTGGAGCAGCTGTATAATTATACCATCCCTTTCTCTAATTTATTCCTAATTACCTTCCATAGACCTGGAAGCCTTGCGCTCATTTCTGGAGGCCTGCACTTACTGATGACATTTCTTTCTATTCTTCCAGCTCTAGCTCACTACCTGTCAGCTGGAAAAATTTCTTTATGGAAGATTTCTTCAGAGAAGTACTCTCAACGTGTTACAGTGCTCTGGGGATTTTTGCAGTCACTACCTTCACAGCTGAGATGCAGTAACTCAGTGTAAGCAAAAAACAAGTGATTTGGACAGACTGCTTTGCACAGTAGTGCAACAGGCAAAAATACTTTGCTTCTCTGTTGCCACGGAATAGGAGTGAGCATATAACTACTGTTTCTTAGCCACGGGACAGTGATGTGAACTGTCCAAAATACTTGTCAGATCACAGAGATTTGTGGACTCGTCACCTGCAATCTCCAGCTTTCTGTATTGTCTTCCATAAGTGGTTTGTCTTAGCTGCATGAACTCTGTGATGTGACTGTCCTTAAACTCAAGAGCAGAGCTGAACAGATCAAAAAATGCTGGACTGGGCAAAGATGAAAGCAACCTGATATGGTGGTTGGTAAACCCAACACACAAGCTTCAACCTGTCTGTCAGCATGACGCACTTTACAAAGCCCTTTCTTGGAAATTCCTTCTCCTGTCTCAGCCTACAGACTTTGCAGATTCAGGAAACAAGAACCCAAACCTGTCCTAAGCTACTTCATTTGCAGTGATAGCCTTTCACCCTCTTTAGTGAAAGCTAGCCAAACACAACTGCTTTAAACACTTAGAAAATGTAGGACACGGATATCTCACCACAAAATCCAGCCTTGACTTTTTCAATTTCTCACATGGAGGCTGTTTCAGTTTATATTCTACAAGCCAGGGAGAACATAACACCTTTGGGGGGGAAAAAAAAACCCCAAAGAACCAAAACCAGGACAACTGGCTCCTCCTTCAATAAACTACTCTAGTTTGAGACTGCATTTTAACAGAACACATTGAGAGAGACCCAGTGAGGAACAGCCTACAACCCAGAACTTCTGAAATTCTTCCAAGGAAGTGGGACATCTTAGTTTGGGTTCCTATTCTGAGTCACCACATATTCTCAGAACTAGGTGTCTCACACTCTAAAAAAAGTGACAGAATCACAAAGGCACAGGCACAAAGGGAAAGCAGCTGCAACTGACCCTTTCAAAGTAAAAGGTTAAATTCTCAAGATGCCTATACAAGATTCTGTTGGTTTTTTTGTGGGTTTTTTTTTCCTGTTTGCCAGAACCACCCAGATTATCTCCATCTGGACTAACCAAGTTTTTTTTTTTCCCTGTTTGCCAGAACCACCCAGATTATCTCTATCTGGACTAACCAAAGCATCCTTTTGAAACACTGCTCTTGTATGGTTTACATTTACAGACCTAACTGCCTCAAACTAAATCAATAATGAAACACAACAGTCTCTCAAATATTGTCAAAGAAGTTATACATCTATGTTCTAATCAACGATCATCTGGACTAACCAAAGCATCCTTTTCATACACTGCTCTTGTATGTTCTACATTTACTAGACCTAACTACCTCAAACTAAATCCATAATGAAACACAGCAATCTCTCAAATATTGTCAAAGAAGTTATACATCTATGTTCTAATCAACGATGTAGCAGAATATTAATTGTTGTCCAATCATGTTCAGATTAACTGTAGTGGAAAAATACATTAAAAAAAATCAAATGTCTTGAAAAGTGACTGAGATTTATAATGAAGCAATGTGAATACTTCTAAAAGTGTCTGTTCATGAGTGGGATTTGAAAGAAAAAAAAACACACCAGTTTTTGTAGACATCTTTAAACAAAAGTTTCTTCAGCACAGCTTAGTTACTATACCTGAACGTTGTATCTCTATAGAAATGGCAAACCACATTTTTACTTTCTTTGACTTCTTGGAAAAAGTCTCTCTCACTTGGGATTTCTCTGTATTCTCCATGTCCTTTTGAAAGCCACTCCTTGAAAAACATAAAAGCAAATAATTAGTATGGAGGTTGTTAGTCTCTCTGTTGTGCAAACTCTGCAGCTTTTAGAAAATGGAAGAGGAGGCCTGCAGTGAAAACCCATTTCATACAGTAGTGGAGAAACAAATTACTTCCTTCCCTTTAGTTTTATTTTAAAAATACATAGGTAAGATCACCTTACTTATTTGGAAATACAAATCTTCTACAGAGCTACATAAAATTCTGCAATGCAGCTTCTCAGTAAGACAAAAGTAGTTCAAAGAATACAAAAAAAACTCTTGGCATTTGAAAATTTTTATGTACACTCAAAGAACTCATCTAAACTAAACCAAGTAATTAAATGAATTAAATAAATTTATTTTAATTTTTTACTCCATGGAAAAAATCAGTGAGAGAAAAGCCTACTAACTCATCTGCAATAGATGTTTACGTGTCAAATATACACTGCAGGGATCTTAATATGAACCAGGCTCACAGAAAATCATGCAGAAAACACATGTGCACCACTGTCATAACATCAGTGGTAGAGGTAACTTCAAAAACTGATTAAGTGTGCAAACAGTTTCCAAAGAGCTGATCTTCCACATTTTCAACAAACGCACTTAAAGGAAAAAACCCACCACCTCTACATTACTAAAAGATAATTGCAGTGTATTTAAACAAGTACAGACTAGTCTAAATGATTAGAAGTAGTGCAGTATGACAAAATTTGAAAAAAACCCTTGATTTTCCAATGGGGGAAAAAAAATTCAGATAAATCACTGTTCTTAATCTTGCAGTTTTGTGTTTGGAGGGTGAAAGAAAATAAAGGTTTCCAAGCACACCAAAGATATCCTGTAAGCTAAATTAGGATAGAACAAAGACTCTCCTGAACAGAGTATACATTAAAAATTCATGGAAGTATGAGCATATGAAGAAGTCATCATGATGCAAATCAAGAACTCACTTATCCCTCAACCATGATTATGCATTAATTCCCCTCTCCACAGATTTATTCTGGAAGAGTGTGACAGCACACTCCTTTTCCTGAGCAGTATCCTATTTCACATTTACATTTGAAAGTGTGTGAGAACAGTGACTAAAGACCAAATGACATGAAAAAGTTTTTGCATGAGACCTATCACATGTTCACATCCAAGGACATCTAAGTGTTATGACTTCTGAAAAAGGAAGACACGAGAATCAAATTTAAACTGAACTTCTGGAGACAAGTGACCAGTGTGCCCCTTTCTCTACTTCTGTGTTTACAGAACCAAAGCTGCTGGTGCTGCCTGTCCTCCAGCATCCCAGCCATGCCATGAAATTTCACTGCATTCCTATTTCAAAGTCTGGCATCGGCTTTTAAGGACTCCATCACAGCCAGGAATCTCCTTTCAGCCAAGCCACTTCTCCCCCACCACAATAAATTTTTTTTGTTTAGGTTAGCTCAGATGGAATAAGCTGAGAAACCTACAGCTTCCTTACTTATAATTCAGGTCTCACACCATATGTTACCAAAATTATGGTGTAAACTATTGCTCAAAAAGAGCTCTGAGGGATCATAAAGACCTCATTTGACATGAGGTGTCAGGTCCCAAGGGAGTATTTCCTTCCTGTGAGAGGAAATGAGCAGTCATACAAAGACAACATTTCTTTGGCTCAGAAGGAGTGTGACAAATGATTCCAGCCTAGGAACAAGGAGAAATCCTGTTTCACCCTTCTACAAAACACTTTAACAGGAGGGCACATATCACATGCTGTAAGTAAAAATCCAGAAGCTTCAGAAGGAAGACACTTCAGAAGGAGCCCAAAGCCTTATGGTTAGGTTGCCTACAGGACTTATGTTTCCAGATAGCAATGTTCAGCAATGTTTGACACACTCAAATCTCTGTATGAGACTCTTATCCTATCCATATTGTAACAATCACAGAGGTGCTTCTCTCCTCCTGTTAAAAAACACAAAGCATGCACACGTGGACAGACACTAACTTTCCTGGATAATTTAAAACTAATAAACACAGAAGGGAGAGAAAGAGGGGAAATGCACAAAACCAACAAAAGCACCCCAAAACACTCAGTTCACACATACAATTCCCAAAAAGTCTGTTACACTCCACACATAAAGAGTCTGTACTACAGAAATTACTTGTTTCTGCTGCTGGCTCTTTTTTAGGGCCTCAAGCCTCCTCTGTTTAAGGCGTTCCAATTCATCTTCATCCATCTGGTCCAGCTTCTGTATTTCAGCATCCAGATGTTCTTCCACAACCTTGGTTGTCTGAAGTATTTCATTCTCCAGAACCTTTTGAAGGATATCAACAGGAGTATCAGCAGCCATCTTTAGCTGGAAAGTGGTCTCTTCAGAGCTGTGGAAACAGTGATACAAGGAATTAACATTAACACAAACAATTAAAACTTTGATCTCTCTTTGCTTGCAGTTCACACCATAGAAAAACAAAGTTCTCTGCTATTTGAAGACAGGAGTAGTTAGCATACAGTTATTTTCTTTACTGCAACCCACTTTGGAGAATGCCATCTGTGTTCATCATGAAAGTAAAGACACAAATCAAGTCCTATTGTTTCAGCCCCAAAGGCAGCTATTGAAAGTGCACAGGAACCTAAAACTGCTTGTTTATATAAAGAAGAAAAATGCATCCATTCCAAAAGGACACTCATCCTGAGCCAGATGTACCTACTTTAACAAATACTCTGAAACAAGAAGATTCAGTTGGAAAGCTCCAAGCTGCTGGGAGGAGGTATAAGATGCCTCAGAACAAGTCTAAGCAACGCTCAATATGTAAGTTTGTGCCAGTAGTTTAAATGCAATTACTTTAAGCCCCTCAGGCACACTAACATATATAAATCTGAATTAACACTCCTCTCCTCAGCTACAAGAAAGACAAGGTGCTCAACAACAAATGCTCTAGGCCAATACACTGCTTTAATTAGTTCCAGAAAATTGTTATTGCAAGCAGCAACCTATGGCAGCCAGCAAGAGGATTTAAAAGCCACTACCTAATTGCTGTGTGAAGAAACACAGCCAAAATAATTTTCTGTAAAGTTCTCCCTGCCCAAACACATCAAAAGACACAGAACACTAACCAGAGTGCATGAAGAGTTGTAACAACAGAACCGACTGCTCTCCCCGATAAACTTACACTACAGCAAATTATCAGCGCAGTGACTGACAGCTCTGAAACAGCGACAGTGCACAGTCACCCTGACTCTCACCCTGCTGACCACGGATCTGAGGTGCTGAATTCGCGTTCCAGGGCACTCCTGGCTGTATTTCAAAGCAGGCGAGCTGCCAGCGCCACTGGCTCTGCGAACACCTTGCACACACACCCAGGCAAGAGAAACATTTTAAGCATGGACGGAAAAGCAGATGCGGGCAGCGGCCACCGAGTCACTGCCAGGCCGCTGTGCCCCGCTCTGCCGGCCCTTCCCGAGCGCTCACCCCACAGCCTGCTCGCCCCCGCCTCGCCTCTACTTCCACAGGGAACATGACCCTGCCGGCGGAGCTCGGAGGCCAGCAGGTCTGCCGGCGGCGGAGCGGCCCCGCTCTGCTGCTCCAGGCGATGGGGCACCCCGCCAGTCCCCACTGCAACCCCAGGTGCCCAGCGGCATCCCGGCTCCCCACTCGCGGAACCCCGCCTGCCAAGAGGCTTTTCCTGCGCAGCCCGGGCGCCGCCGGCGGGGTCGCGGTTCGGGCCCTGGGCCGGGCAGCGGCGCCGGGGTCCGGGGCGAGCGGGGCGGCACACGGCGGGGGCACTGCGCAGGCGCCGCGCGCCTCCCCCCGCGGCATCGCTACACACGGACCATCCACGCACCCGGCTCGGGAGGGCTCCCCAGGGGCGCCGCGGCGCCCGCCCTGCCCGGGCTCGGTGCTGCAGGCGGCGCCGCCCGCGGCCGCAACCGCAACCGCAACCGCACCCCGGACCCGGGGGCCTGCCCGCGGTGGCCGCCCCGCCTCCGCCAGCGCCCGCCCGCTGGGGCGCTGCGGATCCCGCTCCAGCCGTGCCTGCAAGGGGCAGGGCTTGGCCGCGAGGGGCGGGGCAGGGCACGCCCCCTGCTTCCAAAGCGGGCTCCCGCCGCGCAGGCGGCGCTGGCGGCTGCGGAGGGGTCGGGCAGCGCCCGCCGCCGCTCTTTGGGGCATTCCTGCTCGGGGTTGGGCGTGAGCCGAGGCCAGTCCCGGCGGGGGTGTGGCGGTGGGGAGCGGCGGGGCCGTGAGGTAAGTCGGGCTGCGGGAGCCCCAGAACCGGCCGTGTCGAGCCGCCGCGGGCTCGCCGGCTCTTTGCTTCTTCCACTAAGTGCGCTGGAAGAGCCGCTCATATAATTCATGGGATAATAAAGCGTGGGGTTTTTTTAGAAAAGCAAGCAGCAACAACAAAAAAAACACCAACCCCCCCCCCCCAAAAAAAAAAAAAAAAAAACAAACCAAAAACCCAAACCCCAACACACGTGTTCTGCTTTCTCCTTTCTCGGAAATCTGGCTCCCCGGTACCGAAGCGTGCTGACGGGGAAGGCGCGGTGGGAAGATAAACTCCTTATCTGCAGTGGGCTGGGAGCCCGGGTGGGAGAGACTGATAAGGGGCTACAGCTGTGTAAAGGCAAAGGGCAGTAAGAAGTCGGCATGCTGGGAGCGAGGTGATATGGAGGTGGTGATGCTGAGGCTGAAAAGTGTAGTGAACAGCGAGCCTTGCTCCGTCGACCGAAGGAGTTACTGTGGCAGCGTGATGACAACAACAGACCACGAGCAGCTCTCAAAGCCTGTTAAATAAATACATGAAATGATGTCTGTGCTGCTGTGAGCGTTGTTATTTCTGCTCCATCTTGCTGTGCTCCGGAGGAGAGTGGGACAAGAAGGTGAGGTCGCACCTGAGAGCCCCCGTGCTTGCTGCCTCGCTGCCTCCTCCTGCCCGCAGCAGCAACTGCTCCCTGGGCTCCTGGGAGGGGAGTGGGAGGGAGAGCTTTTACACTGAGAAGGTGCTTGCTGCCTCTCCTCGGGTCGGCTGCCTCCTCCTGCCCGCAGCAGCACCTGCTCCCTGGGCTCCTGGGAGGGGAGTGGGAGGGAGAGCTTTTACACTGAGAAAATCTGGCAGCGGGCAGGGAATTGCCGTGCTTTAAATGCCTCCCCCTCCTGGAGCTCCATTAGGTCACTGCCATAAACTCAGTGCTGCCTCCCCCGTGTGAGGCCCCCGTGTGAGGAAGAGGGCCCGTCACCTCGGGGGAGGTGGTGCACTGGTCACACTTCGCCTACAAGGTAGGCGGGGAGGCGCTGCGGGTGACGAGCAGAGCCCCGGAAGGGCTGCGGGGGTGTCCCGGGCATGTCCCGCACCAAAATGACTTCATGGTCACTGTACTGCTGCCCCGCTCCGTAAAAACTTCCCCCGCAGCCTCTTCACCCCCCCACTTTGGCTTAGCTATCCCATTTGCCTCCGGGTAAAACTTTGCAAACGTGTTTATTTTGACTACCAGGCAGGTTTCATGGCCAAACGGGCCACAATCCTGCCAGGACATCCTGGGGCCCCTGGAAAGGCAGGAGGGCTGGAGGGAAACTACAGACTGGGGGCGTCATTTAGACATTTCCCGGGGCTGCCTGCGGAGGGAAGCTGCAAGGTTCGGGGCGTCCCTTGTACGTTTCCCGGGGCTGCCCAAACCGAGCCGGGCAACGCCGGTTCCGTGAGGCCGCTCGGGCCCCTTCCCCCTCCGGCCGGCAGGGGGCGCTCGCCCCGCGGGGCGGGGCCGGGGGCGGGGCGGNGCGCGGGGCGGCGCGCGGTCAGCGCTGAGGGGTCGCGCGCGCCGGTGCCGCCGCCATGGGCAAGAAGCAGAAGAACCGGAGCGAGGAGAGGTGAGGGATGCAGGGAACCCCCTCCCATTCCCTCGTCTCGCCGCAGGGACCCCCGCGCCGGGCCGCCCGCGGCGGCGTGACACGGCCCACACGGCGCTGAGTCAGGCGCCGGGCCCGGCCGGGGCTCGCGGCCTCATCGCAGGCGGGGCGCGCCCGGCCCGGCTCGGCCTGGCCGTGCGTGTGTTTGGCCGTGAAGGGGCAGGCAGCTCGATTTCCAGCTGAAAAATAGCTGCTTAGTGCAATTGAAGTGATTCAAATGTGGGTTTTTGAATTATTTTTTATCTCTTACTGGGCCTTAGTGCTATAGATCGTGCTCTGACACTGATATCTTCGTGCGCTTGCCTAATAAATGCAAACGTTGGATATTTTAGTGGTTGGGCGATAAGAGAGTCTCCTCTGTCGCTATATTCATATCGTCGTAGACAATGCCCCATCTGCGAACTTTTTTGTGTGGAAGGGTTTCTTGTAAAGGCAGCTGTATTAACCATATGGAATGCTGACCGAATGACACTAGCAGGAGAGAATGTATTTTTACTTGTCACTATAAAGTAATAATACAAAGAAACAACCAATTCAAAGAGTGTTTTTGGTTTTTAATAGTGCAGGTGAAATGAAAACTGATGTCTTGAAACGTGTATGGACTAGAAACTACAACATTTTTTCCTTGAGCCATTAAGTGTTTCTCCTCTGGAAGTTCTCCCCATGACAGCTATGTCACAAAATACTATTTCATTTCTAAGAACTTATTGCTTAAGTATGTATTGATGCTTACTTAAGACTATTAATCTGTATCAGGTTAAGGTATGAACTGTTTCAGTTTCACCGGTCCTTTCTGGGCAAGGAGTGTTTTCTCAGTGAGGTATTTTCCTGGTCTGTCTGTTTTTCCTGATGCCTTTTGCCATGCCATGTGTGCTGCTTTTTAATGTCACTATCAACTTTTTTTCATGGGCTGTATTTCACAGGAATAGCTTGGGAGCAGCTCTGGTGAGGAGGTGAGTTGAGTGTGACTTGAGAAAGAAGAGTGAAGGGTTGGACATCAGTGCTCTGAAGGAGAGAAGACCTAGGGCCCGTCTTTGTACACAGTGTGGTACATGCCAAATGCATGGACAAGCCTTTGAGTACTGAAACTCTGCTTCTTGGGGCTCTTTCGGGGTAGTGGCTGCTGTGCAGGAAACACTTTGAGAGTCCTGGATACTTTGTTCCCTCTGTGTATCTTTGCACATATATCTCTGTAAATTACTGAACCCAGGCCTCTGGTGTGCTACTCACAAAGTGTTGTCTGTGTCTAAAAATGGAAGCTTACCTTAAAGGAAAGGTCAAGAATTTCTTGTTAGAATAGTTGAAATTTTGAGAGCCTAATTATTATTACATCAGATCTTCATGTTGCAAAAAAAAAAAGAAAGAATAATAGTGCAGTTACAGTAGTTGTGCTCCCTGTTGCCAAGTCCTAAGGTCAGTGGTTTCATCCTGGTGTGAGCTGATACTGAGAGCTGTCAGCATCAGGTGTCCTTCACCGGGTGTGTGAGATTGCTCATGGTTGTGGTTTCATCTTCCTCGCTCTGGGATCCACTTGAGATCGTTTTTGTGTGCTTGGTAATGTGACTGCTCTTCACTGATTCTTCCATGGAGCTCTGTGGTTGGCTGCCTCCACTGGTTAGCTCCACAGTGCATCCAAATAAGAAAAGGCACTGTGTATTAAATACTATTTCTTTCTTGTTTATTGCCCCGAAAACCAATTTTGTTCAGGTCTGTGTTTCTTTTAGCCAGCGTCTCTCAAGTTGTGGGCATCCTGAGCCGAGTCTGTAGAAGCCATCCCTGTTTATGCCATGTGCCTGTGCCCTGCTGTGTCCTGTCCCTTCCCTTCCCAAGGGCCCTGCTCCCGCACCAGGCCTGTATTCCTCTGCACTGCATTATTGTTGTGGACTTGTGATTATCTCCTTCTGTGCAGTGACTGTTTGTCACTGATTATGTATGAACCCATGCTTGCAGCGTGCCCAGGTAAACAGAAGCAGAACCAAAGAGGCATAGGCACCTGGCTAACTAGAGAAATTGCTGTCCCAGCTAAATCAAGGAGCAGTTGCAGGAGGTCAGGAGTTCAGCCAGAGTAAGCCTTGACAGGCTTTAGTCCCGAGGTCTTGCCAGTGTGGTACCGAGCTTAGTGCTTGCTCCTAGCAGTGACAGTGCTGTCACAGGGCTGCACAGTTGTATGGCAGGGAGAGGGATGATGTGGAAGAAGAATACAAGCAGGCATGTGTTTGAGAAAGGAGGAACAGGATGGGTACAGTGGCTGTATTTTGTAGCAGGGGCTTTAAGGGATGGAAGTGAGGATGACCTGGAAGGCTAGTCATGTTTTGGAACAGGTGTTACCTGTAGAGGTAACTTTCATTTTCTGATGGTCTTGGTTCTAGGTGACATCCTTGTGAATGTCATGTTCCCTGAGAGAGAGGATGCACTGCATGTTTGCATCTGTGGCTTGAATTTGGAGTTCCAAAATCCCCCATCAGTCTCCCCTCCATTTCCAGTAAAGTGAGAGAGGAATGGCACTGTGTAATCAAAGGCTTCCAGTTGGATTTGCTTGCTGCATCTTCAGTTCTGTGCCATATAGTGCTGTACTATTTATTCCCTCCTTTTCCCTTCTTTTTTTCCCCAACAGTTATGTTACAGGTACAATCCCTTATATCCTTTTTGGCTGTAGCTCCCAAAGCATGTGCCAGCTCACGGGCACAACTTGTAGTGCAGAGGAAGCATGTGGGAAGGTGCAGGTGGTTATGTTTATGCTGTGTATATTTGTTTGAGAATTGGTGTGGTGACATGAAGGAGGTTTTCTGCTTGACACACTGAGACAAATTATGTAAGGTACAAGTAATCTTTACTCTGCTTTTCTCTCCTCAGCCCCATAGCTTTGACTTCTGTAGTGGAGTTTCCTCCTCCCGACTGATGTGTGTGGGGAAATGAGGATGAATTTTGTCCCTGTGTACATATACCATGTTTGTATCATAAGACCCTGAGTGAGGTGTTAGCTGTGATGAGCAGGAAAAGAATGAAAATGCAAGACTGTAGCCTGTTATGAAAACACTACAAATCTATACCAGCACCTCTGTTATGCTCTTCTGGAACTCTGTTAGTGACTCCTGCTGCTGTGCATCTGCCAGTGAAGAACATATTTATCTAGAATGGTCCAATACATGGTGACTTTGTAGTGTGTTAGGTACTTCAAAAAGGAGGAGAGTGTTTTGGGTAAAAATAGCTCCTAAGCCTGAATAGGGAAGTTGCTTTAATTGTTTCTTCTTCAAAATGTTTGTGTTTGTGGTGATCACTCATTTTCAAATGAAATTTCCTGGCAAATATTTTAATAAAAATATGAGAGATCTGAGTTTTCAAGCTTTTCTAATTGAAGAGCAAGTTCTTTGATGTATAGTCTAGCTCCTTTTGGGAGGAGTGTTATGCTTTGGTTCTTTGATATGCTTGTAATGGCAGAAGGTATGTCAAGGTTCTATCCTACTATCTTTGGAATTTAGTTAGGAATTTTTTTAATGTTTGTGAAGAAAGGCTGTTGTAAACTACAGAACTCTGCTTTGAATCTGAGCCTCAAATTGCTGCTGTAGACTTGCTAGTGAGTGTGCTATGTACTCTGTTACAGCTTATTGCTTGCCTAGAATATGGATCTTTCCCTTTGAAGGTGTTAGCTTTTCATGTGTTTGTCCTCTTCTTCCAGCTTTGTCACCTTCTTTTTCTCTTAATAGGTTTTCTTAGCTTCCAGTAGGTAGTATTTAGCTGTGTTTATTCTTCTGCCCTTTAATAATGTGACCTGTTGCCTAGGCATTCCACTCTGATCATTCATGCTTATTGCTTTGGAAATTACAGGTGCTGGCTGTGATTCTGCAGCCAAGAGTGAACACAGCTGCTAAAATAAGACTTACTGACATCTTACTGATGCTGTGTATTGCTTTTTATCTGGTATTGTCTACTAGTCAGTCTCTTTCATTCCTTCTCTATTAGTGTGTGAAGTGAAAT